TGAAATTCAACATGGGATCAGCCATCATTCTGTTCCATAGCCGTAGAATCCTATTAGATAAAATATCAATGGTATTTACAAGTGGCAAAAATGTGGCTGGAGGCTGGAAGTGATAGTTGTCTATCCTGGGAGTCTTGTCTCTTGAAACAAAAAAAAATATTGAAAACTACTACACCATGTAAGACATTCCTGGGGTGTCTGGGTGGCTCAGTTGGTTGAGTGTCCAACTTCGGCTCAGGTCATGATCTCACAGTACATGAGAGACTCATGTACTTAAGCCCTGCATCAGGCTCTGTGCTAACAGGTCAGAGCCTGGAGCCTGCTTCAGATTCTGTGTCTCCCTCTCTCTCTCTCTTCTCTCCCTCTCTCGAAACTAAAGACATTAAAAAAGATTTTTTTTTAAGACATTCCTAACTTTCTCACATAGACTAATTGCCAATATTCTTTCTGCCTGGCCTAAATCTATCTGTGTGACCAAGTCCTTACAGAAGCATGGGCTAGAATCCAACCCAAAACTTTATCTGAGGCCACCAAAGAACAAGAACAGGAAATAAGTTGTTTTATTCGGGCACCTTTTTGTCACCGCTGAATGTCAGAGTCCAGAATCTCCCTCGATCATCTATCTCTCTGTTCCTTGTGTTTGTTTCAGATTGAGACTTTTGCACGGTGCTTTCCTAGGAGTTCATTCCTAATAGGTTAAGGGTATGTGTTAAGATATTTCTCATCACCCAAGATAAATGCTTTTACAAGTTTCCTTCCCAAAGCTCATCTGAAAGCATTTTTCTCTATAGCCCCTCCCCATCTACTTCTCTGATTGTTTAGAGATAAGACAGTATCATCTTCTAATGTACATTTCATGCATTTCAATTTACTAAGAAATATTCTATGTGAAAGCTGCTAATAATTACCTTCCCTGGTCCCTTCCAGGATCCCACACCCACTTTCCCCAACTGGAAATGACAAGGTACAGGTGAATTTTGTCAAAGACTTCTGAGAAGTTGGGAAGGTGTGTCTCTTTTCTGGTTCAAGATTAGGCATCAATATTTATGAATGCAACATGTCCTAGTCATCATTCCAGGCACTTGACTTCACGCTATTTGGGCAGGCATAACGAATTTGAAATAGTTGTATTTCATATACCCATTTAAGAAATAAGAAAAATAAGCAAAGATTAAATTGCCCAAGATCAGAGAGCTGTTATCTAATGTAGCTACTGTGATTTGCTTCTGAGTGTATTATATTCCCAAGTTCACATTCTAAATAGTCCCAGTTCTTCAATATCATTCACCAAAAGCAGGGCGTTCCAGAGAGAACTGTTTGAGAGACATAAATTAAATTCACTTGACTGTTCGTGAAGTGAGTAGAGGTCTTCCAGAGGAGGAAAACACTCATGAAACATAGCAGCTATCAATGGACATTCACATTCTTGCATATATGAATTCACCTCAACACTCTACATCAAGCTGAAAGTATGGATACAGTACCTTATTTTATCAGTGTTTTTTTGTAGGTAGACCCAAACCTCATAGAATGGAATCACTTGGGAAATTTTATTTCTAAGACAATTTTCAGAAAGAAACCTTTGGTTAGCTTTTGTCAGAAGAGTTTGGAACAAATATTATTGTTCCAGACACCTCACTAGGCCACACATTAAATAGCATCAAATAACTCTGATTGCTCTTGCTATCCCAACTACAAACTTATTAACTGTGATTACCAAAAGCACAGAAAGATCTGTTGGAAATCTTTTGATGCATTTTCAACAACAATGTTCTGCTCATTTTCAGATGGAGAGTGTCAAGTCCACAAAGACTGTTCCCAGTTCACATAGCATAGCATATAAACTAGAGTCAGGACCAATTTGTAAAATGAGATTCTTTTATTTTAATAATTATTTTTGAGAGAGAGAGAGATGGAGGGTGAACAGGGGAGGGGCAGAGAGAGAGAGAAGACACAACATCTGAAGGAGGCTCCAGGATCTCAGCTGTCAGCACAGACCCCGACACGGAGCTCGAACTCATGAACCACCAGATCATGACCTGAGCTGAAGTCAGATGCTTAACTGACTGAGCCCCCCAGGCACCCCAAAATGAGACTCATGATCAGTTTCTTTTACACTTTTACCCACCATTTATTGGCAAGACGTGGCTGACAACTGTTCTTACAACTGTTCTCTGCCTATAGGGTTATTTGTAGATTGTTCCATTTGATAAAACACTGGTGAAAAAAAAGAGGACTCTACACCGTGCTCTTGGTCCTAGGCATAAATGAATTGATGCCTTGATTCTGTTATCCTTGGTCAGACTCTTCCCCTCATACACAAACACAGACAACTGAAATTATTCCAATTTATTGCACAACTATTAGGAATTGAGGATACATCAAAAAGGTCACAAGTACACTAACAAAAATGATCATATGCTGCATCATGGGGTGAAGTGGTTATAAAGGAAGAAATGAAGGCTGGATAAACAGGTGTGCATCAGGCAGTCTTCATGGAGAAGATGACCTTCAAGTTGAAATTTTTAGAAAGATAATTTGAAGCAATCACTTGTTTGCTCAGGGTATGCCTGAAGTGGGCATATGATAAAAGTCAGGCAGAGGCAGGACAACTATCAGAGTGGTCTTGAGCCAAAAATTGTGTCGTGTGCACAGGAAAGATATAGTCAACAGCGTGGTTAAAATAGGAATTGAGTGAGAGAAGGAGTGACAATGCATTGTACAGTTGTAAAGGTAGACTGGACCTATTTCTCTTTTTTGTATTCTTTTTTCTAAGTTTATTTTTATTTATTTTGGGAAATAGAGAGCAAACAGGGGAGGAGCAGAGAGAGAGGGAGAGAGAGAATCCCAAGCAGGCTCTGTGCTGCCAGCACAGAGCCTGACCCAGGGCTCGAACTCACCAACCATGAGATCATGGCCTGAGTTGGAATTAAGAGTCAGATGCTCAACTGAGTGAGCCACTCAGGCACCCCAGACTGGATCCATTTCTAGCGGCCCCGGGAGACCAGCTTAGGAGTTTGGAAGGGAATATACATGCCATGGAAGTGATGTGATCAAGAATGGAGATACAGTTTAGCAAGCAACACAGTGAAAGAACGTATTTTCATGCTGCTATCAATTTTTGAGAAACACAATTTTATTTCAGAAAGATGAAAGTAGAAAACCTGAGGTACTAAGGCTAGATAAGCATACCAAGGGTGTGGTTATGTGATCACTTTTATAGTCTGGGGAAATTAATACCTACCTGTCACTTTCTAATTTTGGCATTCTAAGTATATAACACATAATTATTTTATTAATGATTTATAAATAATACCCCAGGATGACTTTTCAGACCCTCCACAGGACTCATCTACTTAAGCTAAAGATGTGAATTACATTTTCCTCCTCTTAATAACAAAAATTTCAACAGCAACGTAATCATTTTGCTTATTTTCTTTGTGACTTTCTATTCGTGATCTATTCTCTTACTTCGCACATCACATAAACCCCCATTCTCTCTGTCTAAATGCTTCTGCAAATGTTTTATTCACTTACTCACCACATGGCTCTGGTTCGAATTTCTCTGCATGTCTGGGATTCATTCACCATTGCTATTTGCTCTCCCCATCTCTGTGCCTCACCTGGAGGAGACTTCTCTCTTGCCCTGCCAGCAGATACTGTCTCCGATGGTGAGTTATTTTCTCTCTATCTGACCTCTCTCAACTTTGAACTACGTGCCATCTGCTGTTTCACAAAGCACTTTTATGACTAATTCTTGTATCTTCTACTCTAGAATTGTTTCCTTCCTGTCACCCCTGTGATTATAGGCAGGTGAAGTCTAACTTGGCTTCCCTTTTATCTCAAAATAATTCCCTTAGAGTATTAATCTGCTTCATTAACAATCTCTCCAATAATAACACCAAATTTCGTCTCCACCAAAACACTGTATTGGATGCCATCAGGCTCTTTCTATTGCATTTCTCTTTGGTCTCCTAAAAATAAAAGCTAAGACCGAGCTTAATTTAGGTCTATACGTATGTTCTCCTCCCTCATCAATTCATATTTCTTTTATTTATTTATTTATTTTGAGAAAGAGAGAGGGAGAGAGAAGGAGAGAGAGAAAGCATGAGGGACGGGGGAGGGGCAAAGGGAGGGAGAGAGAGAATCCTAAGCAGGCTCTGCCACTGAGGAGTCCAGTGCATGGCTCGATCTCACAACCATGAGATCGTGACCTGAGCCTAAACCAAAAGTCAAATGCTTAACTGACGGAGACACCCAGGCGCCCCTCATCAATTAATATTTCTGACTTCCTACACGAGATTCATCAATTCATATTTCTGACAATCCATATTTCTGGCACACTTACCTGGTATTCTCCTTTGACCTTAGACCCAACGACGGAATGTGTTCATCAACAACAATTGCTTGTCTAATCTTGTCTTTTAATTCAACTTGTTAGCAAGATCTACCAATTTCTCTTTCCTCCATGTTTTAAACATGACCATTTCACTCTATCCCCACTGACTCCATTTTATCTCAGGTCCCCATTAATTTATTCTTCTTTCATTTCAAATTCCTCATTAAATGATCTTTCCATTTATGGTTTCCTTGTTTTTTACCCATCCATCTTACAAGATACTGAATAACCTACTAAAACTCCCCACTGCCCACTCATCAATCTGCAAACATTATTAAACAAAACTGTGTCCGTGCAAGTACTGATGATTCAGAAGTATATAGATTTTTATGAGACTTTGCGTCTTTGAAAAAAATATATTATCATTGACAGGGTATAAAATATTTCTATACGGAGGGGCAACTGGGTGGCTCAGTCAGTTAAGCATCTGACTCTTGATTTTGGTTCAAGTTCATAAGTTTGAGCCCCATGTCGGGCTCTGTGCTGACAGTGCAGAGCCTGTCTGGAATTCTCTCTCTCTCCCTCTCTCTCTACCCCTTCCCACTCCCCCCCCCCACCCGCTCTCTCTCAAAAATAAATAAATAACCATTAAAAAATTTGCATATGGAAAGTTATAGTGTAAGGTGTGTGTGTGTGTGTGTGTGTGTGTGTGTGTGTGTGTTTGGTTTGAAAAATTCATCATTTAGAGAGAAGAACAATCTTGACTAGAAGAACTTAAAGAATGAGTAGAAACTTGAAGAAAGAAGAAATTCAGGGAGCACAGAATATAGGGCAGAAAATTTCAAGTTGGGGTCCTGGTGTGAGATGATCAAGTACAAAGCATATTTAAGAGAGAAAATTGAAGTGGAATTAGAGATGGGGGCCATTAGAGTTAGGTTTGTGTGTGTGTGTTTTCCCACAATATACCCTCAATCCTGGCATTTAAATTATTCCTAATATCTTAATTTTACAGATTAGAAAAACCAGATTAAGTAAAATAATTAAATAACTTGCCACAACCCACTCAACTAATAAGCAATAGGCCTGGGATTCTAATGTGTTTTCTAAGATAAGTGATGCTTCTAACATTCCATGTTGGGCTGTCCACAGAAGATCAGACATAAGCAGGAAGCATCCATTGCTAAGCTGATATGAATAACATCCACCAAAATGACTAATACAAGCCTGCAGAATTCTATTCAAATTTCTATCTGACTATATTCCTATTGCTAATTATCTGCCAACTTGTTCTCCTTCTCACTTCCAAATTCACTTTAGAGTAATTTGTTTCTTTCTCTCAACTCTACCTGTTGCCTGACCCCATGTATATCTTCTCAGAATGTTCCCCCATCCACTCCATAAATACCCTTTGAGCTTTCATTATGTAGGACACTGGGAAACATGAAGTGAAAGAGACAAGTGTGGAAAACTTCAAACACTTAATTGGTCCTCAGTATTACATTTGCTGAACGGGCTTTGTCCTTTAGGTGCTTACAGCCCAGTAGGGGGACATCCATCACGCATATCTGTAGCTCTGAAAAGGGTTAAGAGCCAAACATGATCAAACTGTCAAAGTTTAACTCAGCTCTCGACCAGCCTTCCTCCTGTTTCCTCTATTTGCATTGTTATAGGCACACAGTAAATGCTAACTGATTATTCGTTGACTTCCCACAAAAGTTGGTACAAGACAGCAATAGAAAACAAGAAAAATAGGAGTCGATCATATCTAAAAATGGGCGAGGCATTGGGGAGTTTAGGTGAACAGAAACAACAGATAGAATAGTACCGTCTGGAGAATGAATCCTAATGTAAAACTGGAAGACCATAGAGAGAATTAAAATTTTGTCGGTAGTCCCTTAAACAAACATCTTGGCTTATTTTAGACCTTTTGCTGTGACTCAGAGTGTTCTGAATACAAGATTCTCATGAATCAGCAGGAGAAGACATCTCCTCTTTGCCTTCCAACTCACTGTAAATTGGTGAATATATGTTTAATTCTTCATAAAGACGGTCTTCTGGAATCTGATGAGAGAAAAATGATTTAATATCAATTACCAGGAATTTTCCACCACTAGATGATTTGTTCGAGAGCTCTTTCTCATCTCTTTTGGCTTTCTGAGTCTCATTCTGTCTCTCATTACACTGTAATTATTCCTTCCATCTCCAATAAAGCAAGCCAGACTGGCTGGCCAAGTGAGCCCAGGAGAAATTTTATCAGTCAATAACAAGTTGGTGAGACTATTATGTGTCTGAATTTTGTTATATCTTCTGTCTTATTTCTCTTTGGAGGAAAGTGATCAAAAAAGGCCACCAGACTCAAATGCTTCAGCAAGTGGACAGATGGAGAGAGTATGTATCATCTGGAAGATTTGAGTAAGTGTATGTGCATCAAGTATTGGTGAGTCTTTTTCATACATCAAAGGTATAATGGATGGGTAAGGCAAGCAGAAATGCAGTTGGTAAACATGAATTGGGAAGGAAAGAAGAGTGAGGCTTCAGAGCAAGTAGGAAGATGAAATCCAAGAAAAAAGAAAGAGTAGGAACAAATATAAGAGAGCTATCCTGGAAGAGAAAATAAGCCCAGATACCTGAGGGTTTCCATCACATACTACCTTCACATTTGTCTCTCATGCTCAACACAGAGCCTTTTCTAAAATTATGAAAATTCTACTTTCCTAATGTTCAGTCATGGGGACATATCATGAGATTTATGCTCTTATAAGTGGGAAAACATGATTTCAAACATGAGCTTCGGAAACCAAAATACCGACACATGGAAAAATAATTTTCCAGTAGAAATGTTCCCGGATATCCAGGCTGTACTTTTAGGATGAAGCTCAAATTCTTCAGTTTGTCATTCAGGATTGAGTATCAGGCCTTTACCTACCTTCTTCCCTTGGAACACTTCTCCAACTCCATAGATTATGAGTGACACAGCGCTGCAAAACCCCAGGATGGTGAGAAACAGGATCATGGCCACGACTTCCTGTTGAACAATGACCAACAAGTGGAGTCATGGGGGTAGGTGCCCTGAAAATGTGTTCCATTATAGCAGCCCCTGATTTCATCACCCCTCAACATGATCAGTCCCAGTGAAGCGACACACACATGGGGACGCCACACGATGGTAGTTCAAGGCAAGTGGCTCCAACCTCACAGAATTCAGCCGGGAAGGGGTTGGCAGCCAGCATCTCCACACATGCACCCCCAGAACACTACATTACATGATAGAGGTTACAGCAGAGGATGGGGTTCATGGAAAAGGGAAAGAGGGCTCTTACTTGGATTGGGAGCCAGAATCTTAGCCCTCCCACAAGAAATACATACAGTGGAAAAACAAGCCACAAAGCAGAAGTCATCTCCTTGAGTTTCCCAGCAGCTGCAGAAATAAACCCAGGAAGTCTTCAGGTTGATGGTCAGGATGAAGATTCCTATTCCTGCAGTGATGCTGCTGACAGTGTTTGCTCCCAGGCTTCCCCACACCTGATGGTGAAGGACAACACTCAGATCTGGGCCTTCACCTACCAGCACATTCAACAGATCTCACTGCAATTTTACAGCTGGTTGCATGCAGCAAACTCTGCCATGGTTCAAAATGTAAATAGAAAAAGGAAATCTTGATGATATGCTCATTGCTTTCTAAGCATCTATAACCTTCTTGCTAGGGCTGCCTTCAGGAAGACCCTCACGGACAAAACATCATCTCTCCTCAAGCCATCTCCTTAATCAGAAACAAATCATCCATTTGATCATATGACAGTACTCACAGGGACAGGGCCCAGTGTGGGGATATTTCTTAAAACAAGTGGCAAGGGAATGATGTCTTACTGGTTTTTTTTAAAGAAGATGATTGATATTGTAATGATTATATTTTTGATGATTATATCTAACACAAAATAGATTCCACATTCACTCATTATAGGGGAGATGATGACACATCTCCTTCAAGACTCCTAAAATTCCATTTTTTCTCATCTCCTCAAGGATGGATAAAGACAGAATTGCAACTCACCAGGTATATAGCATGCTTCTTTTCAGACATAATTGGCAAAAATCCAGAAATAGCAAACTGTATAAAGGAAGGGAGGGAGAAGTTCAGTGAGTCTCTGCCCGTCTTTACTTCCCCTTTCCCCTTTATCCCCCAAATATAAGGTAAAGTTGTGGGTACTCTATAAAGCTATGTATTAATGTTCCCCATAAGCTCACTATAATTTTATTCTTGTTTCCTATAGGGGGCTTCTCAAAATTAAATGTGCATATGAATACTGTGACAGTCTTGTTAAAATATTGATTATTATTTTTTTAATGTTTATTTATTTTTGAGAGAGAGAGAGAGCAGGGAAAGGGCAAAGAGAGAGGGAGACAGAGGATCTGAAGTGGGCTCCACGCTGACAATGGGACTCAAACCTACGAACCATGAGATTATGACCTGAAGTGAAGTTGGAAGTTTAACCGACTGAGCCACTCAGGCATTCCCAGATTAGGTTTTTAATTGAAGTATAGTTGACACACAATGTTACATTAGTTTCAGGGACACAACATAGTGATTTGACAAGCCAACTATTATGCTGTGCTCACCACAAGTGTAGCTCCCATCTGTGTCCATAGAACGCTATTACAATACCATTGCCTACACTCTCTATGCTGTGCCTTTTATTCCCATGACTGATTCATTCCATGCTGGAGGCCGCGCCGGCTCCGACAGGTCCAGGGGTCCCTGAAGGATGGACGGTGTCGGCGAAAGAGAATGAGAGAGCCCCGAGATTCTTTCTGATCACCAGGCAGGCATCTCTGTCCTGTCGGTTTTGGTGTCTTTATTTAAAGGTTCAACAACCATATGAGATCAGAGAAAAGTAATTTCTTACAATGAGAGGTCTTTTGTGATATCAATTACAGAATTATCCCAGTCATGGTGAATTTACCACCAAGAAAATAACAGGATGCTCTTAGTGAAAGACAGGATAACATATAGGTTAGGTTGTATATAGATAAGCTAGGAGTCATTCTGTCTGGCTCTCAAGAGGATGAATGTTTCTGAATTGGTTTGTGTGTGGAAGTCCTCATGGGGGCCCTAAATGTGTCCATCTTGGCACCTGGGTTTATGTTTTAGCTACTCTTATCAATCCTCATCCCAGTTGCCAGTGTAAGGGAGGGTGTTTGTGGAATGTAGGCCTTGAGGAAAGGACTGCCATACATCACCAATTAGTAAGTTATGTTCTGTACTTATCTGTACTTTAACTATAAATTAGGCTCTTCTGATATGGGACCAGGCTCAATAGTAACTCTTGTGTTCTTAACCCCCTTTATTATCTAAGTCTTGGATCTGCAAGGCCCATAGGAAGAGCCTTTTGACAATCGCCCATAGAGCTTTCCTCTAAAGTCTCTTTTGTGAAGACAGGAATATGCTTTTCCTTATGAGGTATCTGTATTCAGAATATGGGTCTGATATGGAATATTGTGAGGCCTTGTCTATACCAGCAGGCTCATTTCCAACATGATCCAGTAGTAGCAGAAGGAGATATTAGTCTTCATTTCTCATGGCAGAAGCTGTGCAAACATTGCCATCTCCTTGCTGTGACTGCCATCCAGAGAGGCCGGTGCGGCTCCCGGCAATTCCATAACTGGAAGCCTTTACCTCCCACTCCACTTCACCCATTTTGCCCATCCTCCAACCCCCCTCCCCTCTGGCAACCACCAATTTGTTCTCTGTATTTATGGGTCTGTTTCAAAATGCAGACTTTTAACCAGTAGATCCTGGAGGGGTCTTGAGATTCTTCATTTCTACCAGGCTCCTGAGTGATGTTGACCCTGACAATCCATGGGTTGCTTTTGGAGTAGCAAGATCCAGCAGACCTGGTACATGACTGTTATAAAATGGCTCTCATTTTGTTGTAATTGTTTGTTTGTATGAGCATCTTGTGTGTTAGAGTGTCAGCCCCTTTGGGCAGAAAATGTGTGTTTGTGACATGCGTATCTTGAGTCTCACATATGTCGTGCAGACATAAAGTAATTATAAAGATGTACATGGTAAAGGATTTATAGAATATAAATCAATAGCACAGATTCAAAACAATTTTGAAGGTTCAGAGTGTATGATGGGTTGACAGACATCTAATAAGCAAAGTGTATGGCATGAAGACAGTAGAGAGGAGGGTCAAATAAAATATGACAGAGGTTCAAGGAGAGTCATGAACAGGTAGGTAATCTGATGAGTCCTAAGTAGTTAGCAGAGCGCCAAGCCAATGCAATATTTTTTAGAGTTAAAATCTATCCTAGTGAATGAAGTGTTAATACAAAAGGCCACATGGAGTAATCAAAAATAATTATGCTGAGTGAAGGAAGCTGGAGAGTAGAGAGAATATGCTTTATAATTCCCTTTATATAAAACCCTAAAAAATGCGAACTAATCTAAAGTAAGAGCAGATCAGTGATTGCCTGAGGAGGACAGGGAACAGAGGGATGGATTACCAAGGATCACAAGAAAACTCTGGAGGTGATGGAAATGCTTTTATATTGATGTGATGTTTCCACATGTGTATACATGTGCCAAAATGTGTCAAATGATAGACTTCAAATATGTGCAACTGATTGCGTGTCAACGATACATCAATTAAGGTATATATTTTCGTGATCTCATTCAGTCATCTGGTTTAGAAATAGTACAATGATTAAAAGAGATATAATGAGGGGCACCTGGGTGGCTCAGTCAGTTGAACATCTGACTCTTGATATTGGCTTGGGTCATGCATGATCCTTGGGTCATGAGCATGGAGCCTGTTTAAGATTCTCTCTCATACTCTCTCTCTGCCCCCTCTCCCCCGCTTGTGCTCTCTATCTCTAAACAAACAAATGAACAAATAAATAAATAAATATTTTTAAAAAGGAGATACAATGAGAAAGCACTTAAAAGAGTTTCCAGGACATAATATGAATTCATCAGATGCCCTTGACCTTGTTTGACCTTGTCCTCCTCACCTCCTCAGTCTCTTTCTCCTGCCTTCATGAAGATAACTTGACTGATGAATAGTGTTAGGAATATGTTTCTGGAATTGGATTCTGAAAGGGTTTTTTTTTTATGTTGATTTATTTACTTTTGAGAGAGAGAGAGAGGAGACAAGCAGGGGAGGGGCAGAGAGCTTGGGAGACACAGAATCCGAAGCAGGCTCCAGGCTCTGAGCTGTCAGCGCAGAGCCGGACACGGGGCTCAAACCCACTAACTATGAGATCACGACCTGAGTTGGATGCATAACCAACTGAGCCACCCAGGTGCCCCTGTATTCTAAAAGTTTTGATTCATTTTTTATTAGCTAAATGTCCCTTGGGAAATTCATTTAACTTTTATGTATCTCAGGTTTCTCATCTGATAAAAGTGTACCAATGTGTTTAATCCAAGTGCTTTATAAACTGCAATACATATATACACTGTAAATACTAGAATAAATCATTGCTTAGACCTGACATGGGCAAGAAAAAAAGCTACATGCAGTGTTATTTCAGAAGTGATTGTAGATGTTTACTCACAAATGCTGCCCCCCAGAACGGGTAGCCTGCTTTAAATGATGAAAAAACATGATCCTCAAATTTGGAAAAACTGATCACGGAGAAGACCATTATTCCAAACCAAAGGCATATCAGAGCGATCAGAATTTGTGTTACCTGTAGAAAAAAAACTTCTTATCATGAAGGCCAAGCATGAGAAAATGGTTTGGGTGTCTTAGACATCCTGAGACAGGATTGAAATGCAATATTTTCTAGTATCATCAGGCTACTCTAAGAATGGGTACTGGCATGACCTAATGTGGGGATGGCCAATGCATTTCTCATGTGCCTTTATTTACATGTGCATGGAAGACATCAATAATTGTTCTTTCCATCGAGGTGCAGACAACAATGATTAATTTGATGTTAATGATATTAATCTACCATCAACTGAACTGAATTGGCAGATCCTCTTGGCCATTCTTCTAGTCTTCATAACAAAATGCTTCTCTCTACTCAACTGGGCCCCACATTGCCTCCTGATCTACAGGGGTTTTCAGGCCTCACGAATACAAGTGGGGAAACTGTGCATACACTCAAATACTCTCTCCTAGTCCCATTCTACTCTGGTTGATGTGGGAAGATGCCCACTCACCCCCAGGAATTGCAGCTCCCTCCTCAAAAACATCAGCCACGTACGGCATGGTGGGGCTGGGGCAGTCTTCTCCCGTAAGGCGTTATCACGGAGAGATACTTCTGAAAGTTCAATTTCAGGTGCACTGTGAAGTTTAAACAGAAATTCAGTCATGAGTGAATTCTCTCTCTGTGAAAAGTTCTCCACTGACAGGAATGGGTGGGGGATTGCCTATGTTTTCAAAAACAATCTTTCAATTAAAATCTCATTATAATGTGTAAGAAACTGAGGCTCAAAGAGTCCAAGTTAGTGGCCAAGATCACTGTCTGTGATTGGATGAACAAAATGGAACAAAAAATGAGCCACATCTTCTTACTCTTAGTGCGGGGTTACTACCAAGTTCTTTCTCAGTGCTCTGTGCTGATGAGTAAACATAAAAGCAAACAGACATGTTGACCTATGTGCCTCTCAGTCTTTTTAACACAGAAATGTACCTGAATATATTCTGTCAATGACACACTCCCTTTTATGTGCACAAAGGAATGGCTTTGAATGGTTAGTTAAATCTCTATTCCTGTTTTCAGCCTCAGAGGAGGCTAACTGCAGCTACTGTCCCTTCTGAAACTTTGGAATATACTTAACATTTTGCAATAATATTCAATCCAATATTGATTCCCAAAGCTCTGTCATCAGCCTCTCCTAAAATCCTTAAAAGGAAAGTCTTCATAATGTGTTCATCTTCAGCATTCAAGGGAAAACTGAATTACACACCTCCCCTCTCCTCACTCAAGAACATTTCCTCTCTCGACAGTGGGGCAGGATTCCATAGAAGGAGGTTCAAAAAGATTAACCAGGGAGGAGCACAGGGTCATTTTGAAAAATTCCTCTCCCTTAACACACATCGGATGCAGAGGCAAGAGATCTCAATCGTTAGTACGAAACCTACCTACCTCAACCCCACAATATGAGTCCCTTCTGTGAGAGAGCTCACTGTTATTCCCAGTTCCCAAGATGAGTGAAAACCTTCCTCCCCATCACCCAGAGAGAATGAACTAGTGGCAAAGTATAGCAGATAGCTTCTTTATGCTCAATGTATTAACCAAACCTGACAGATCTGTGTCTAAATCCATGAATTGGCGTGCCCCCAGCACTGTGGCTATCGCTGGCCCACTGGAAACGGAAATAAAATAGTAGCCTGAACCTACCTGGAGGAGCTTTGTGGGGTTGGGAGAGCAAGACCTGCCCTGCTACTACTTTCTGTGTCCATTTTTTCACGAGCTGAGCAATCCACCGGGGAAGAAGGTTGTTACAACGAGCCTTGGGGAGCTTCCTCTCACAGTGAGCTTCAGATGGGCAGTGAAGATGGGTTGGCTCATGACCCTGATGACTATCTTCATACTCAAGGCATGTGTCTCACAGATAAGTTTCCCAGATGATTAAGCAGTAGGTTTGTTTGTGGTTTTGTTATATCGAAGAGCAAAACTGAGGGACTGAACAGGAACTAGAAAGGAATAAGGAAATTTGAGACTCTCAGAGTCTGCCTGCAGCCTGGACCATTTACAGAACCGAAAAAACAAAAACAGCTGAGTGGAGACTAAGAAGGTGAGAGAGAACCACAGAAGAGAAAGAGATGTTCATCTCGGCTAGAACTTTCTCTACTTGGCTATTTCTGTGCCAGGAGTTTTCCAAAGATATCCTTAAGAAGCCTGTCTTCCCTGTTTATTTTTTAAAAATTTTTAATGTTTATCTTATTTTTGAGAGGGGGTGGGGCAGAGAGAGAAGCACGGAGCCTGACACAGGGCTTTTGAACTTGAGTTGCAAGATGATGACCTAAGCCAAAGCCAGACGCTTAACCCACTGAGCCACCCCAGTACCCCCGTCTTCCCTGTTTAAGGCATACTTGGCTTCACACACAATCGAAGGCTGAAACATTGCTTGCAAGTGTATCTCAGCCTCTGGGTCTCTGAATTGGTCTCTGACTTCAATGTTTATTGCCTTTCTCTCTCTTCCTGACTTCTGGACACTATTTGTCTGACTCTCTGCAGCAGACAGGCTCCGAGACTGGACAGGAAGAACGCTGTGGGCCTCTCCTGATAGAGTGTGGGAGCTAAGTGTTCACACAAAAGACTCTACGAGCTGCTAAATGTTAGACTGACTCTCTGCTGCTCTGATTTTTTTGATGGCAAGGATGCAGCCATGGAGCACCAAGGGGCATGGACTTGATAACAAATCTTATAGACCAATCGAAGCAGAAGTGGACCAAGCAGTATATCTAAATTCAGGTCCCAGCTTAACGAAGATGTTCATTTTACTAACGTAACTAGCTAGAAAAATGAATACATGGCAAAATGAACACACAGGTTGAGAGTCACAGATCCGGGATTCTTTTATTTGAGTTTAACTATAGACATAACCCTGTGTGGCTCTTCCTTAAACTATAAGATACTACAAATTGCACCTCTAGGCAGTCACCTCAATGTGTCTCTGTGATGTGATAAAATTCCCACCCATTCTCCAGGAAACTAAGGTATGTGTCTGAAGAGAGGACATTACATGATATATACACATATCTTTCATGACAGAAATTTATTAATCCACATGCTATCTTCCCATTGGGCCTCTGGAAACTTGTGGACCAGACCAGTGTGTTATTGGAATTAAGAAATAACATTCCTTACGTGTACCCCAATATTTATAGCAGCACTTTCAACAATTGCCAAATTATGAAAAAGCCTGGATGACCATCAACTGATGAATGGATAAAGAAGATGTGGTTTATATATTCAATGGAATACTACTTGGCAATGAGAAAGAATGAAATCATGCCATTTGCAGCAACGTGGATGGAACTGGAAGGTATTATGCTGAGTGAAATAAATCAGAGGACAGATATATGTTTTCACTCATACGTGGATCTTAAATTGAAGAGAAGACCATGGGGGCAGGGAAGGGGAAAACAATAGATACAGAGAGGGAGGGAGGCAAATCAAAAGAGACTATTAAATACAGAGAACAAACAAAGGGTGGGTGGGGAGGTGGGGGGGAGGGGAAAATGGGTGATGGGCCTTGAGGAGGGCACTTGTTGGGATGAGCACGGGGTGTTGTATGGAGTTGTATGGAGGCCAATTTTACAATAAATTATATTCATAAAATAAAATAAAAAATAAAATTTAAAAACTGCGTTGTAAATGTGGAAAGAAAGAAAGAAAAAGAAAGAAAGAAAGAAAGAAAGAAAGAAAGAAAGAAAGAAAGAAAGTAAGTAAGCACTCCTTTACTTACATATTTATCCAAAAAGGTCATCAGGCTCTGGGTCAGTCACTGCTCTGTCACTGCACTTATCGAGCTGGCCCCGCCCACCCTCACAAACTGGCAGAGTAGGACACAGATAAATGAGACCATGTTACCAATATATCAGATGCCGCTGGAAACACAGGAGGATGTAACAATTGGACCTGAGCAGGGCTATGCAGAGTTCAAGGAAGAGATTCCCTGAGCAAGTATCATTTGAGTCAGGATTTAAATCTGTTCCCGTCTCTCTCAAGGAAATGGGACCACATCTGCTGGCAGATCGCCTGAAGAAATTGCCTGTGGATGGTGTTTCCTGGGAGACCAGAATAGTGCATGATGCATGCAGCAAATCATTAGAGATGAGGCTTGAGATTTAGATGGGAAACAGATGGAGGATGGTCTTTGGTGTTTGGACAGGATACTCTTTTGTGAGAAGGTTCAATAGCAAAATGCAAATCGAAAATGGACACATATCTTTGGGCCTCCAAACAGTATCACATGCGGGTTTCACCAGCCCCTCCTTCCCATCGCTCTTGAGATGCCTACCCTCTCCGGTACCCACATGTGGGTCCTTTCCATATGCGCTGCTGTCTTTCCCAATCATGAATGCTGAAACATAGGCCAACGTGACTTTTCTGTTTCGGTGGAGGCAAAATTGTCAAGATGAGTTTTAATCATGCCTCTGCTGCCTGAAAGGAAGAGATAATAGTTATGGTTTCCTGCAGGCCATGTAGTTCCTCCTGCAGTTAGTGTATTTGCAGGTATTCTCCATCCATGCAACATCTTTCCACTAGCGAAGCTTCCTCTCCGGGTACACACTGGATTTGTCTTTCCAAACTCGGAAGAAATTTGCTTTCAGATCCCATCTGAACAACTGTTTTCTCAAACTGAATGCTCAGTTTCCTTGAAATAAATAGGCACCAATCTGCATCTGCGTGTTACAAATGGAAAGTCGCTATCGCTTAGGGGGTATTTTCTGATACTCCCAAAGGAATCATCACAGCCTCACGCTCTCCATCTCTCCCCACCCACCCTCTGGTTTCTACAACCCACAGTATGGGTTCAATAAATACAGGAGAGGAGTCTCTGGGTGGTTCAATCGGTTAAGCTTCCAGCTTCAGCTCAGGTCATGATCTCTCATGGTTTGTGGGTTCGAGCCCCACTTCGGGCTCTGTGCTGACAGCTCAGATCCTGGAGCCTGCTTCGGATTCTGTGTCTCCCTCTCTCTCTGCCCGCTCACACTCTCTCTCTTAAAAATAAATTAACATTAAAAAAATTTTTTTAAACAAATAAATACAAGTAAGAGGCCCAGAGAGGCCAAAACTGACACCAAGTTCCAGGATTCCTTGGGAAACTGGGCTACAAAAAGAAAGGAAATAAGAAAATACTGTTCACAAAACAGGCCAGATGGTTCTTAAAAAAGAAAACCTTTGTCTCTGTACTTACATGACTTCAGAAGCTGAAAGAGAAAGATTTACACGGATTGCCCAGGTGTTTAAAATCCCCTTGAACCCTTCCTTGAAATTAGAGCTTATCCACGGATGCAGCCTCCGGGCCACTTACCTGCCCAGGTCCCGCACCCCTTCTAGCTCCCCAAATGGCACTTTCATGGGGAAAATTATAACCGTGTAATATATTGATTCTGTTGTGACCAAAAACATCTGCTTAGTGGGGAGAGTAAGAGACACCTAGAATCCTGGGCAAAGGGGCAGACACTGACTCCTAGTCCTTGTGTGAGCTTCTTAGCTTTTCTGAACCCTCTACCTTTCCCCCTGCCCTCCTAAAATAACTATACTGGAATATTTGATCAAGCTTATTTTCTACTGTTTTCAGTATTGTTCCAAAACTTTTCATAAATTGAAAAATTATGAAAAATAAGCCATTAGCGGCTTATTTTTGAAAATATCATTTTTAATATTTATTTATTTTGAGGACAGGAGGAGCAGAGAGAGAGGGAGAGAGAGAGAGAATCCCAAAGTAGGTTCCATCTGTCATCGCAGAGCCCCACATGGGGTTTAATCTCACGAACCAGGAGATCATGACCTGAACTGAAATCAAGAGTCGGATGCTTAACTGATGGAGCCAGCCAAGTGCCCGGAAAACCTAACACTATCTCCCAGTATCTTCCAAGTGTTGTATAAATTGCCCGTCAATCCTCTTTTTCTCATGCTAACCCTGGAGAATAAGGGAGTGCAGGTTATTTCCTGGATCACCTGTCTGCCCCGTTCCAGTCTGGACTGGTGGCCTCTAAGCTTGTCATACTGAGGTCATCCGAGTACTTCCCACTGCCCTGACTTATACTGGATTCCCTCGTTCCTAGATCCCGTGTTTTCCCCTTGCTTAGTGTACTATTGCAGGTTGGTAGTGTTAACCTTAAAAACAACAAACAAACAAACAAAACCAGCCTGTTATTTTACCAGCAAAATGAGTTAGTTGAGGAATAACAAAGGAATTTGTAATTTGAGACAAGCAAAGTATGGCAAACTGCAAGTTAGTCCAAAAAGACAAGAGAAGCCCAGGTTTTAATAGGTTTCAGAAGGAAACTAGGGAGGGTTATTTTGAACAAGAGTTCATTGGCGAAGAACAAAGATTTGAGGGTATGGAGGCTTTTCACTGGCTGCAGGTGGTGGTGAGTGTGTTCTCGCAGCGGCAGGGAGAGTTCTTCATTCTTTTCCTTAAGAGCAGAAGATAAATTTTTTTATGTTTATTTATTTTTGAGAGTAAGACAGACTGTGAGCAGCAGAGGGGCAGAGAGAGAGGGAGACACAGAATCCGAAGCAGGCTCCAGGCTCTGAGCTGTCAGCACAGAGCCCGACGCAGGGATCGAACTCACAAGCCACGAGATCATGACCTGAGCCGAAGTCGGATGCTTAACCGACTGAGCCACCCAGGCGCCACAGAAGATAAAATTTTTATGTGAAATATCCTCTCTTGTTAAAATAATTCTTATGTTCCTTCCTCCTGCTGGTTAAGCAGGCTGGGGAGAGTGGCATGTGTGCAAGAGCACCCCCTGCTAGACTCCCCGACTCCATTTTCAATTTACTTACGGTCAGAGTGGAACACACTCTCCAATTACATGCTGAGAAAGGGAATCTGAGAGATGGAGGATTCCAGTTAATCTCTAATCAGGATTAAATTGTGACAATTTGTCTAACCCTTTATTGGGTTGTGGCTTTATTTTAAACATTTGGCTTCACGAATTATTGTTCAATGAAAATAGGGACAAAATGATTCTACAGCTTATAATTTTATCTCTGAAGGTTTTTTAAAATTTATTTATTTTGAGAGTGAGCCAGTGGGGGAGGGGCAGAGAGAGAGGGAAAGAGAGACTAAGAATATACATTGATCTTTAAAATAGAAAGAAAACTGCCCTCACTCGTAGATACAAATATATTGAAAAATGAGCAAGATCTTGAAAGGAAAAATCATATAATTAAGGAGAATAACTGAAAACTATAAGACGTTAATGAAATTGAGGAAGACAAAATGAATAGAAATATATTCCTTGAAAGATTGAAAGAATTATACTGTCAAATGTCTGTACTACCCAACAATAATTATACTGTGCAACTAAAACAATGTTCAACAAAAAGTTCCTAAAATAGAAAGCTCCAGATAGATGCCTGCATATATGTATGTTTCAATCATCTCAGTCCATACTGAGATGTTCAATGAAAAGTTCTAGAATGATTATTAGCTTTCTAAAAGGAAGATGATGATGATGATATCATTCTCTATAGAAAAAGTAAATACAGATGTATTAAAGCTCATAAAATAAAAAGAAAATCCTTAAAATGCCAATATGAAAAGGGGCCAACTGGGTGGTTCCATCAGTTAAGCATCCGTCGCAGGTCATGATCTCATAGTTTATTGGTTCAAGCCCCATGTTGGGCTCTGTGCTGACAGCTCAGAGCCTGGAGTCTGCTTCAAATTCTGTGTCTCCCTCTCTCTCTGCCCCTCCCCTGCTTGCACTCTGTCTCTCAGTCTCTCAAATATGAATAAACATTAAAAAAAAATTGGGGGGGACACGCCTGGGTGGCTCAGTCGGTTAAGTGTCTGACTTCAGCTCAGGTCATGATCTCACTGTCCATGGATTCAATCCCCACATTGGGCTCTGTGCTGACAGTTCAGAGCCTGGAGCCTGTTTCAGATTCTGTGTCTCCCTCTCTCTCTCTGCGCCTCCCCAGCTCGTGCTCTATCTCTCTATGTCTCAAAAATAAACATTAAAAAATTTTTTAAAATGTTTTAAGTACCAATATGAAAAGGTATAATAATGTCTCCATGGACTTGAGGTAAGGAAGGGTTTCTTGCACAAAACACAAAATGCATAAGTCATTATCAAACGTGAGTAAATAAAATTACAACATCAACGTGGGGTGGAAGTGTAACAAAAGCTAAGAAAAACAGCAAAATAAAACAAAACAAAATCAGAATGGGAGAAGCTATTTGCAACAAATGTCGTTTAATAATACAAACAAAATGTATGTGTTTATGAGACTTCCAATTCCAGAAATAGCTTAAATTTCACCAGTGGTTATGTTAGAGTTCAATTTCTATTTTCTGAAATTCTCCTCCATTGTCTTCAGCTTAATACTGAGGTCAGTCTTTGCCATGGCCGTTAATACCTCTAGTTCCAGCTGTATCTTAATTCTCAGATCTGTTCCTCATATTTTACATTTGTCAAGAAAGCCTCCAACTTAATGAAGATAGTTTCACAGTCACGAATGGAAGTGCTCTGATGGATCTGGATCTATCATGGTGGAGCCCAGGGTGAGGTTAGCGCCCTCTCCCCCAGATCTCAAGGATGCCATCAATTTGCAGATAGCGAAGGGGTGCTGGATGGGCAATCACAATATCCACTACAGGATGTCAATGTGTTTTGATCAAAATTTGTTAGCTGTTATCTTTAGAAAAATACAAAGAAATGATTTATTTGTTTATAACATGTTAGATGAGAAAAATAGAATTAAATGATGAAAATGTTGATATGTTACTACAAATACCCTTCCTTCTACTGAAGTTATTTGCTTTGTGTACTGTATCAAATTCCTAACCAACCTCTACTCCACTAATTCCTTCCAAAGGAGATTTCTAAATGTCAAATTAACGCATGGTTTGTCCATATCTATCCAGTGATGTGCTGGTAGATATTCAAAAGCTGGTTTTCCCAAGTTGGAGGGTGAGGGTGGGAATGTGACTTGTGGCTTCTACCAATCTCTGAGGTGTAAATATTACCACCATAACCAATTTCCAGCTACCAAAAACAGGTTAACTTGTGGTCCCTGCAAATTTAAAATCAGCTCTCACAAGTCAATACAAGTCAGCTCAACGTCACTGCAGAAATTTTCTATTGCTTCTGAAGACTCACTGAGTTGGTCTTAGGGTCTCTGTGATACGTGTACTTTTTCTCTCTCCAAAGCTTTATTTTGCCATCTGTCCTTCACACATCAAAGTTAGATACACTAAACTCTCTGTTAGTTCCCTGAATATCCCCAATTCTCTCCAGCTTAAAGATTTTTGCATGAATCCCCCTTCATTGTGCAAATTCTAGTAACCTTTCAGACCTCAGTTTAGAAGAAAAGTCTTCTTAAAAAAATGATATCCCCTCTAACCCAGGTTAGAACTTCGTATGTCTTCCCAAGATTCCTATATTTTTCCTATCATAGCCCTTATTACTGCATAATTATACATTTCTGTGGGTATATATCTCCAACTATGAGCAACTTGAGAGCAGAGACTATGCATCATTTTCTATTTTATGTCAAACTTTTCATACAGCACAAGCACATAGTAGAGACTCCCTAAATATTGCTGAATTGATTAAAAAACAGATAAAAATATATATACTACATGGGGACTATATGCTATATATATATATATATATATATATATATATAGTATATAATATATATAGATAACAGATAAAAAAATATATATGGTCCAGGGGTCAATATTATATATATAATGAGTGTGTGTGTGTGTGTGTGTGTGTGTGTGTGTGTGTGTGTTCTGAAGAAAAGAGGCAACAATTAGTAAAGACGAGTGTGACAGAATTTTTACCCATATGGTAAATAAGGAGCTAAGAGTTGCCTATGGGTATGAACTTATGGACATTAGGAATGACTCAGTTTAGTGTCAAGAGGGGGGAATTAATTTCTAAATCTGAAACATAAGCACTTCAGCAGAAGATAAATCAGGGACCAGATATATCAGAAGGAACCTTAACATCAAATGCCACCTTGAAAAGATAGCCATTGATGGCATGGCAGGGGGTGGGGGCAGATAGGAGGAGCCATAATGGAAGTGAGGATTTCTGCCATCTTCCCTGCACATCTGACCACCACTCCACCTCAGCCTTAGCAGCAGCAGCAGCAGCAGCAGCAGCAGCAGCAGCAGCAAGGAAACCAGTGTTATTTAGTACTTGCAGTTCTGCTTCACCACTTATACGGGCTGAACCCTTATTCCAATCGATGAGATAGTTGATATTATTACACCTATTTTATGGATGAGAAAAAACAGGTCAGGGGGATGAAGTAACTTGCTCAAATTCACACAGGTAGTAAGTGACAGTATCAAAATTTAAACCCAGATCTGTAAGAATCTAAAGCCCTTCTCCCTTCTCCATTTTACAGTTTCTCACCACCCTTTGAAGAACAAATGTTGATATTGCTCTCAAAGTTCCCAGTCTACACCATCATTTATGTAGCAGGACTTGTGGGAATCTCAGAAGCTGACCAAAATTAAACCTCTGAGACCTGACCCTCCCCCCTCAAATGTAAGAAAAAATTACCGTAACGATGACAATGATGATTTTTTATTTGAGCTTTTACAATGCTGACATCAGCTAAAGGCAAGAAGCATTTTTCTGCAATGAAAAAAATATCTGACTCGTTTCCCTTCTCAATGGGTGGTTGGGAGTTGGATTTAGAGAGAATTCATTAAACAGGAATTATTCTACCTTCCTCCTTTAAACCTTGTAAGGCAATGGAGCAGGTGGGTAAGAACAAAGAACACCGATTCTGGGAACAACTTAGGAGTAGTGACCACGGAAGTTACAAAAACAAGAAGGTCTAAAGAAGGGTGTTTTTCCTTCCATGTCCAGACTTACTAATGGGGTTTATAATTAGAACAGAAAAAAAATTGAGTCAGATATTCAAGTTTCTCATGATTGGTGCCATTAAAGAGCATAAATAGGCTCCTGTCTTCCTGATTCTTGGTGAAGCTCAACTCACTGGAGAGCTGAGGTTGAATCTCCGTGCTCCCAGATTTAGTTTCATCAGGAGGCATTTCTGCTTACACAGAATTAGAAGGTGAAGAAATCGCCTGGAAAATAAAATATCAGTCTCCAAGAATAGGGTCATCATCTCCCTCTCCTTCCATCCCTTCCTTAATTATCATGATCATCGCCAATAATACGTGTTTGCTGATTACTACTATGCTGAAGTTTTATATACATAGTCCTCACAATAAATCTCAGAAGGCAATGAAAATGTTTTCATCTTATTGTTAAGTTATGTAAAATTCATGATTTTTCCTGGTTATACAGCTATAAACTGACAGGTTACAAGGAAAGAATTGAACTTAATTATATCTGTATAAAAAATATTAATATACTTATTATATTTATTATATTGTAGTAACTATTATTATTGATATTGTCATTTATTATTATACTACTTATATGACTATAAAATCTTACTATGATGTTATAAATGTATTGAACATTATGTTAAATACATTGTTTCCTCTTATATTTTTGCATCAGAAACCTTTTCCAGCCTTCATTCCATCCCTCACTTTCATATCATCTCTAACTCCAGGAACCCCACAAATCATTACTACATAAAAGTATATCTTGTTAATTCTGGAAATCAGAGTGAACCTTAAGCCCTACAAACCATGTGAATTATTCATCATGGAAACAAACCCACCTCTCTCCGATTACGTGAGTTTTCTGAGCACCACAAGGCTATGACGGAGAGGCTTATGAACAATCCCAGCAAGGTAAGGATAAGCATTAGAGACATCAGGCCCTAGGGGATATGATGCCTCATATGAAACATAGTACAAACGTTCAGAGGGAAAAAAAATGTCATCAAGAACCCAAATACAACATCTCCCTCCCTTAAAACAGAACAAAGTGAGTCATAGATTAGGTTTAAGACACAGGCACACACGAACCCTCTCTAAGAACCCTCTTTAAAGAGAACCCTCTTTAAGAGACTAGGTCAACCTAAAAACATGGAAACGGGTGCCTGGGTGGCTCATTGGATAAGCGTCTGACTCTTGATTTCGGCTCAGGGCGTAATCTCACGGTTCGTGGAATCGAGCTGCATGTTGGGCTCCCTGTTGACAGCACTGACCTGGTTGGGATTCTCTCTCTCCCTCTCTCTCTGCCTCTCCCCTGTGTGCCTTCTCTCTCTCTCTCCCAAAATAAGTAAATAAACTTTAAAAATAAGTAGATCGATCGATCGATCGATCGATCGATCGATGGAAAAGAATTTCCCTGGAGAGAGGGACACACTGCATTTTTTATCAACCTATGTGAAGTAGTCATGGGTGAAGAAGATGTAGAGGCAAAATTCTGCTTTCTTCCTAACATCTAGGGATATGAATCATAGCCAACTAGGGAGAGGAGTAGGTAGTTCAGGAAAATGGACCACCATTTCATTAATGATACTTTATTAGAAGGTTTATGCCTTTATGCCATTCCTAGAAACTAAACACCAAACTGAAATATTAAACACAAAATTATTAGACTAGCAATCCTGCTATTATCACTGAGGAACCTTGAAGAAGCAAATACAAAATTGCTCCAGAAGGAAAATACTACAAATCCCAGATAGGGAGGAAAGTCCCATAGAAATATAAACTTAGATAATTAACAATACATTTTAGAAAAAAAATGAGGCACAAACTTCTATGCCAGCAAACAGGAGGGCTGGGAGCCAGGCAGTAAAAATAGGTCATAAAATAGGTCATCACAGAGAAAAAAGACAAATTTAAAGGAAAATCTTAATTCTAAATTGACCTCAGAAGAGGGAGAATATCTAACAAACAACAAAATCATCTGAAAAGGTCCTTAAGGAACTTCCCTTTAAAAATAATATACCCCAAAATTCAGAGTGCCAGTGTGGCCCAGCTGGTTAAGCCTCTGACTTTGGCTCAGGTCGTGATCTCATGGTTTGTGAGTTCAAGCCTCACATCAGACTCTGTGCTGACAGCTCAGGGCCTGGAGCCTGCTTTGGATTCTGTATTTCCCTCTCTTTCCCTCTCAGGGGCCCCTCCTGTACTCACACTCTGTATGTGTCTCTCTCTCTCAAAAATAAATAAACATTAAAAAAATTTTTTAAACAAGATGAGTAAATTGAAACACTATCTAATTTGCCTTCATTTTAGAGCTAATGAATGGCAAACCAGGATTCAAATCAAGGTAGCATGATACCTGATGTATTATTCTTCTGCACATTTCAGATCATTTGAAATATTTTATAATTAAACATAATTTTTGAAAACATACGTTTGATAAGATGCCCATGCAAATGCATAAGTCCCGTGACTGTGAAGACTGACATTCCTTGAGAGAATACTTATTAACTGCTAACTGGATTGCAAGAAAAACAAGCCCGACTAGAGCAATTGACACACTGGCAAAACTCATTCCAAAGTTGTTTTGCACCTAAAAAAGAACAGGAATTTTCTATTAATATAGGAAGCACATGCTTCCTTCCTTCGGTAGCAATTCATTTAAATAAATCTTGGTTTAAGGTTGTTTACACACCCAGCAACATCCTAGATACTGGGCACACATCAACGAACAAAGATCCCCATCCTCATAGGGCTTACATTCTAGCAGCAAAGACCAAGAAAACAAAGATATGAATAGGTAAATTACATAGTATTTTAAAAAGTGACTAAGTATTACAGGCTAATGGGGTGGAGCGAGGATGTCATGGAAATCTAGAGAGTGGAAGTGGCGATATTAAAAAGAAATGCCACCTGGGACGAGGCAGGCAGGAGCTGAGGGAGATACACAGAAGGAGGAGTGGAGAGTCCTTGTGGTTCTGGAAATAGCTCAAAGCCATGAGGCCAGAGTGCTGCAGGCCTGTTTGGAGGAAGCTAGAGGGCAAGGTGGTTGGCTGGAAGGGTGCAGCCAAAGTAAACAATACTAGGCACTGAAGAAAGAGAGTGAACGGAGAGCTGGCTCACACAGGGCCTTGTGGGGCTTAAAAAGAACTTTGGTTCTTACCCTGAGGAAAATACAGAGCCATTGGAGGATTTTGAGCAAAGGGGCAACACAGTTAGATGAATGGGAACACTGATGTGTAAACAGGACTAGTTTAGAGAGGGCCAGCAGTTGAAGAAGGAGCCCCATTAAGAAAGATGGTGGCAGACTGGATGAGAAATAGTCAATCTCAGATTTAGCTTGAATGTAGGGCCAACAGGATGTGTTAATACACTGGATTGTCCAAGAAAGAGAAATCAAGGATAATTCTCAGGGTTTTGGCCTCGGAATCTGGAAGGAGGGTGTTCCCAACAGCTGAGATGGAGAGGAAATGGAGGGAGAAGGTTTGAGGAAGACTAGGATAGAGTTTTGGAGATTTTAGAACTCTTAAGTGGAAGCAGTGAGATCTGTCAGCCTGCTGCCCAGAGGGAGATCTAGGCTGGAAGTATTTATCTCAGGGCTTTGGGTATACAATGTCACTTGAAGACATGAGCATGGATGAGGTCACCAAAAGAGTGAGTAGGGTAGGTGACAAGGATCTAAGTTCTGGGGCACCTCAATTTTCAAAGGTCAGAGAAGCAAAGGAAAGTAGATTGAGAAGGAGGCGCTGGAAAGACAGGAGGAAAACCAGTTAATCACAGTGATCTAGAGGCCAAGTGAAGAAATTATTGGAAGGAGGAGGGAGTGATCCGCTGTGTGCTAAATGCTGCCCACGAGTCAAGTTAGGTGAGGACTGAGAATTGATCTCTGCATTGCCAACAGAGAATACAGCAGTGATCTTAAGGAGAGCAGTTACGGAGATGTGATAGGGAAGAAAATAAAGCCTTACTGGAAAATAAAGCCCTTACTGGGTAGATGGAATTGGAGACAGAGAACAGATAATTCCTTTGAGGAGGTTAGCTACAGGAGGAAAAGCAAATTGTGCCCATAGCTATCAGGAGAAAATAAGGTCAAAGTTGTTTTGTTTTGTTTTGTTTTTTAATGCTTACAGCAATAACTGGATGCTGATAGGCTGGTTGAAAAGATCTAGCAAAAAGACATTTGGAGTGATGCACTCGGGTAGGGAAAAAAGGAATGGAATCTAGTATTCAAGTAGGGATACTGGCTTTGAAGAAAATCACAGAGAGTCACCTGTGGTAAGAAATTAGAATGAAAAACGACCTGGTACGGATCTGATCCACGAAGTGGATATTAGAGTGGGAGTCTGAATGTTCTTCTCTAAGGGCTTGGGTTTCTCAGACTAGGAAGCAAGGTCATCAACAGAGAATAAAGGTAAGAGAAAAGGGATTGGTGTTTGAGGTGGCCATCTATGGAGAAAGGCAGAGTGAATGCGCTAGGAAGGGCATGTAGCTGGCAGATAGATGATTTAGTGAGAACACATAACAGGGACTTATGAAGCATATAATGAATCACTAAAGGAATAGAGCTTTTGGCTTTCAGGTGTGCGATTAGTGGTGAGAAAGTGTACACTCAAAGTAACTAGAACTAGTCAAGTTTCACAACACATAAAAATCAAGACGTCTTTGGGGCGCCTGGGTGGCTTAGCCGGTTAAGCGTCCGACTTTCGCTTAGGTCATGATCTCGCGGTTCGTGGGTTCGAGCCCCGCGTCGGGCTCTGTGCTGACTGCGAGCTCAGGGTCTGGAGCCTGTTTCAGTCTGTGACTCCCTCTCTCTCTGACCCTCCCCTGCTCACGCTGTCTCTCTCTCTCTCCTAGAAATAAATAAAAACATTAAAAAAAATCAAGACGTCTTTTTCTGAGCTTCAGATTCATCAAATACTCAAAGTAATCGCCCCAGCAATCATTCACAATCTCTATGATTTTTTGATAATTTACCATGTGAATGTCTTAAGAGAATTTTCTTGTGCATTCCATAAGACTCGGTGTCTCAGTTGAATTCACCAACCTCTACTCTCTTGTTATGATTGGGTAACTTATTTCTAGTCCTACGATCATAGGAAAATAGGAAGAACTGCCACGTACCAACATTCTTGTGGATTTTTTCCCAGCTGCAACAGATAAGGATCCTGAAACAATAAACTGTTTGAACACAGGAAACGAAGCAGATAAGAGAATATTAAGTCTCAATCATTTTTATTTTGTCCTCCATTTTTATTTTGTCAGTTAGTAGATATCTAGCAATGGTTGCATAGAACTTCTTTTTAAAAATGACATTCTATCATAGAGAATTATACTTGATGTTGTTCATGATTTTGTATGAATAAAATTTTAAATTGGTTAAAATTTTGAGCAAATATATAATATTTTCATTTTGTTTTATGCCGATTTTTTAGGTATTATATGAGCATGCATACTTTAAAAACATAAGATAAAAACATACATTTAATATAATTATCTTTATGCTTATACTTATAGTAAATGTAAATAATATTTATTTATATACACATGCATATATAACATCATTTACATATTCTTACCCAAGCTTCAGATGAGGGTTTGATGTATTGGATAAGATGTTCTAAAAGGAACTTCAGGAAGTCTGTCTATATTGATATATCCACTAATTTTTAAACCATTATTTTGGTAAACTCTTATGTTCATGACTCTAATTTGATAAATTGAATTCTCTACAAGTTCACAGTTTTCTCAAAATTTCATTCTGTTTTATACCTCACAAATCTTACAATGATTTGCCAAGCTACTCCAATGGTTTCAGGGCAAAGTTGCCAAAATCATGGAGAGCAAACACTTCCTACAAACATTTCCTACAAGAAAATAATTCTTGAATTCTGCCTGAACAAAAAGGAACAGCCTTTGGATTCCACTTCAGATAACAAAGTGGTTCTCACAAGAAATTCCAAAGTCACTCAAACTTTATGGTCAAGAGCATATGCTGTGTCCTGACCCCATGTTTAGCTTGCGTTCATTCTGTAGCCTAGGCTCAGTTTTTGCCTTGTTTCTTTTTCTGTAAAATGGAGATGTGCATGTTCCCATGTTAATATTACTGACCTTATACCTGTATGGGGATAGAATGAAATAATACATGATAAGGTCTTCGAAATTGGCCCGGTACACATAAAGCACTTGTATTATTAACAATAGCTAAGGTTTTCATATATTTTTCCCATTTAATTTCACAATGACCCAAAAAGAAGATCCTCATATTATTTCTATTATCCTACTGAAGAAACTGAAGGGAAAGAACTTAGATATTTTTCTCAAAGGTCAATAAGTACGAGTAAGAGGAAGATTGGTTAACAGAAGGAACCACACAGTCAATAAATGACAGGGCCATGTATACTGATAGAAGGGGAGGGAGACAAGGGTATAGTTGCAGGTAAGGCCAGATATGAAGGGCTTTGCACCATGTAGTGGATCTTAGATTTTGTTCCATCAGTGATACAGAACCAGAGAAAAGCTTCCAGTGATGGGAATCTAATGGTCAGATTTGAATCTTAGTGCTGAGGATGCTTTAAAAGAAGGAGCTCTGGCTTCCTGACCACTTTTTTAAAAACAAACTCACCCCAACTTTCTGAGAAAAGAAAACTCTTTCCTGATTAAATAGCTGAAACACTTCATCATTCTCTTTTCTACAATATGGAAGTTTTCCATTCAGATAGTCAGGATTCATTATGCAGAGAAAATGCATACTTCAGGTATTCTAGAAAAATTCAGATTCCAACTCCTTCATCAAAATGACAGCATGAACACTCTAAAACTTTCAGAAATGTTAAATCCAAACTACATGTTTCAGACTGTATTCAGAAACTGAATGTAATCTTTTGTCAGAATATGAGATTGTTGCCAAACTATGGGCAATTTTGTTTTAAAGGAGATCTGAAGGTCAATGATTCTGAAAAACTAAAAGTATGAATAAATTATAAATAGCCCTAGATTTGCTATAAATTTATCTCTTCTTAATTTTCCAATTACATGTTCCATTTACTATTTTCAACTAAACCTTCCCATCTTGGATGGTAGTCTGAGACCAAACACTTAGAAATTCTCAAACGCCTAACACCAGAATAGACAAAATAATAATAATAATAATATTATCTCTTCTTAATTTTCCAATTACATGTTCCATTTACTATTTTCAACTAAACCTTCCCATCTTGGATGGTAGTCTGAGACCAAACACTTAGAAATTCTCAAACGCCTAACACCAGAATAGACAAAATAATAATAATAATAATAATAATAGTGGCTGAATAACAAATAGTTCCCACTAATCACTGTTAAGAAAGAAAACATCAGGTAGGTGATAATCAAGTAACAAATTAATTTATTCAAATAAACTTGAAAACCACCTAGAACCAAAAGCCTATTTTGTGGATTACATTTTGACTCAAACAGGGAAAATCAGTATCCTGATTTCTAGACTGTAATCAGCAGGCAAATCTCTTATCTCCCAAACTAGGACTCTCTTGACTGCACAAGACACTTCCCCCAATACTCATTTTTCATTTAATTTTGTTAGCATCCATAAATGTAATTCCTGGATTTAATGCATGAATACCTCAAGTTAATGTTTGAGACTTAATTTGTGCTCTGCAAATGTGATTTTTCTTACTCAGAAAAGCACTTTGTTTTTAAAACTTGTGTAAAGAATTACAAATCAAATCCACAGGATGCAATCTCCAAATAACCTAAAATCAACACTTTAACCATCAAACGCATTTCAAGTGGTGGTATCTAAGAAAAGGTTTATGGTCGGGGGAATATGAATACGCACAAATAAAGCACCCCATAGTGGGTAGCCTGTGTAGAAGGTGAAGAAAAAATGACGGAAGGAATGAAATATGCTTTGCAAGGAACCTAGAAAAACACCCAGAGCCAGAATCGTTGCTCCATTCAGGATCTGGATGGCCTATAAGAAGGAAAAGAGAAAAAGCACAATGGTCATATACTAGTGTCCACAGAAAAGAGACTATTTTAATTTTCTTCAGAGAGGAGATGTCAGTGCTGGAAACGATTACAATATCAAATTTAACGTAACGGGGCAAGGGCTTATCCTGGGAGGTTTTTGTCCCATACCATTCCCACTAATCCCAATGGCAGCCCTTCATCTCCACCTTTCCCCACCTCCTGTCCATTCTCACAAACTCCTTCCAGAAGGGGTAGAAGAGTAGAGGCGATGTGGCTGGTAACATAGATGGAGTCAAATATCTTCCGAGCACACCTTGGGGCCATAGTATGGTGAAGGCACTCAGACATTAAGCAGCAGTTCATCCAGCCTTTCCTCCACCCAATTTTTAGATCTAAAATGTGGAATGAGTTCATATGAACTCAGCCTCCTGATGTGGTGGTCAGACTGGAGTCCATTCTCCAATGTTGAGAGAACGTACCCTACTCCCCAGGTCTAAAATGGGCCTCAGTCTTTTCTTAAAGAAGCAGCATTATTGACTTAGTGATAAATAATTCATAAATCTCTCCTGACAAGAACAGACAAGGTTTTCTACATGACATTTATTTTCTTCCATCTTAAACCAATTTTTAAACTAAAGATGGCCTACCCCAAGGACTTGTAGCTTCTCCCTCTGGTGATTTTGTGATCCATCAAGGGGCCGGTAGACAGAGTTATTCACCACCTCCGGTTCCACCTGGCTCACTGAGGTACCACCTGCTGAGGCTGTCCCCAGTTCTGCATTATCATCTCCTGGGGAGGCCATCTGGGGTTATTGACGGCTGCCACAGAAAAGAAATCCAAAGGTTTGATGTTTTCCCTTTTCCCACTAGTTAATATTTTTTGAGTGCAACAGAAGGGTTCAATTCTGTCCAAACATCAAAATGACTGTCCATAAAATGGAGCAACAATTGACATTGTTGAATTTCATTTTGTCTTGGAGTAGGAGACATCTGCAAACCACTGTAGTAAGTCTGAGTGCCTCGCCTAACTTTGAAACAGTGAAGTGTGGTTCCTTTCTTATTTTTATATATATGTATACATTCCATAGCCCCTCTCTCTCTTCACATCAATCCTGGACCACCATACAGATGGTTTCACTGATAGGTGATCTCTTAGGTTGAGGAAAATGGCTTTAGTCACCTTCCTATAATAATAAAAGGTATAATTTATTGAGTTGCTACTACATGCCAGGTGCCGTCTGGTTGCTGCGACTTTGTTAACATATATATTGCTCCCCACAATCTATGTTGTGATATTATTATTCCCATTTTAAAGGTGAGAAAATTGATGTATAGAGAGGTTAGACAACTTACTCACACTTAACACAGCTCATAAATGAGTTCAGCTTTACTAGAGATATTCTACCTTAAGGACTCACATTTTTTGATCATTATGCTGTATAGTACTGTATGGAAGATACCCTTCTAGGCACCATTCAGTGGAAAGAGTTTAAGTACCATGGATCTAAAATCCAGATGTGGCCACTTACTAGTTGTGTGATCTAGTTATGGTAACCTCAGTGGTCACATATGTAAAATGAAAATAAATTCAATTTCGTATTAACATGACAAGAGGCAACTCTGATAAGGTATGAAGTCTCTAACCTAATAAACAGTTGGTAAATGTTAACTTTACCTCAAACTCTGCCTTGTGTCAAAAAAAAAAAAAAAAAAGACTCAAAGTATTGTATACAAGGTTCACCAAACAACCACCTCAACCATTACCCTTAAAATATATGTGTCACTAAAATATACACAGTGGGGCGCCTGGGTGGCTCAGTTGGTTAAATGTCCGACTCTTGGTTTCAGCTCATGTCATGATTCCATGGTTCATGAGTTCAAGCGCCACGTCAGGCTCTGCACTTTCAGTTACCTGGGATTCTCTCTCTCTCTCTCTCTCAGAATAAATAAACTTTTTAAAAAAAAATCTAAAAATATATATACACAGTATGTTCAATATTGAGCAATATAACTTCCTAGTGGGAAAAGTGATAAAGGGAAACCTTATTTCAAATGGAGTCAGAACACCACAACAGGGGCCTCCCATGCCCTGCCCTCCTCCTCAGCTGTAAACCCAACAAGAACAAGGCCTTGGCATTTTCCAGGTCAATACCAGTTTACTATCCCAGCGAGGAACAGCCCAGCCAACAAGAGGCTGTCACAACTCACCCGATGAAAAGCTACTCTACTTCCAACTCCCAGTTTGCGGCAAGGGACTTTTTATGTCTAACAGTAACTCCTAATTCTCCTCTTTCCCTCCATAAAAGAGCGGTTCCTTCTCTTTCTTGTCTGCACTCGCTTATGATTTTGTTGTAGCTTGCTTGTCCCAAATTGCAATTCTCTGCTCTTCCCGATCAAACCCATTTTTGCTAATAAAATAACGGACAGTTTTATCTTCAAGGTTAATAACAGCCTCCTCCAACACAAAGTGATTGCAAAATGCTTCTCTGCTTTTAAAACTGATGAGGTGGACAGTAAGAGATTAACTGCAGGGGCGCCTGGGTGGCTCAGTCGGTTCAACGTCCGATTCTTGATTTTGGCTCAGGTCATGATCTCACAGTTTATGAGTTCACGCCCTGCATCGGGCTCTGCACTGACAGTGCAGAGCCTGTGTGGAATTCTCTCTGCCCCCACCCCACTTGCTCTCTCTCTCTCTCTCTCTCAAACTAAATAAATAAACTTAAAAAAACTTTTTTGAAAGATAAAAGAGATTAACTACAAACCCATTATATACTGCTGAATTCTTTTTTTTTTTTTTTTTACATTGATTTTTTTTTTTATTTTTTTTACAAACTATCATCTTTGAGTTTAGAGTAGTTTAATTTCTACTTTTTGTTGGAAATTGTATACCAGATCTATTTTTCTAATAGCTTCACTCAATCTTTTAATTAACTTTTTAAATTTACATCCAAGTTAGTTAGCATATAGTGCAACAATGATTTCCAGAGTAGATTCCTTAATGCCCCTTACCCATTTAGCCCATCCCCCCTCCCACAACCCCTCCAGTAACCTTCTGTTTGTTCTTCCATATTTAACAGTCTCTTATGTTTTTGTCTCTCCCTGTTTTTATATTCTTTTTGCTTCCCTTCCCTTATGTTCATCTGTTTTGTATCTTAAAGTCCTCATATGAGTGATAACTTCACTCATTTTTATCAGAATAGATCCATCCTGCTTCCTTTCAGGATAATGTTTACCTTTCTAGTTCTCTATTGTAGGGGGTATCTGTCATGCTTATTTAATCACTAAGGAACTAAGAAGGTGAAGGTGAGAACATATTCTCTGTTTAACTTCATCACATTGGAAATTGCTATTTTTTACCTCGCGTCAAAGTATCCTGCCAATACTGATTTTCATGCTAGCATCTGGTACGTGCTCTGTTTAAACACTGATAAATGCAGAAGGACGAGGAGCCCTTACCTTCCATGTTCACTATTAAGCACAGAATCCAAGAAGGAAGAAATATCAAAAAGTGGACAGCAAACTATTTTAATGAATGCCTTATCCTGGTCAGGACGTATAATAATACTAATGGCCAAACGGGAGCCCCTGGGTGGCTCAGTCAATTAGGCATCCTATGAATGGCCAAACGGGAGCCCCTGGGTGGCTCAGTCAATTAGGCATCCAACTTTGGCTCAGGTCATGATCTCAAGGTCCAGGAGTTTGAGCCTCCTGTCAGGCTCTGTGCTGACAGCTCAGAGCCTGGAGCCTGTTTCAGATCCTGTGTCTCGGTCTCTCTCTGCCCCTCCCTACTCGTACTGTCTCTCTCTCTCTCTCAAAAATAAATAAACATTAAAAAAATAAATAAATAAAAATAAAATAACTATACATATCAGGGAGAATGTTCAGGCTTCAGGCAAAATAAACTATGTTCAATAATTTGGTCAATTTAGCTTTTTTTTTTTTTTTTTTTAATAAGAGAAGTGTAGATTTCCTGAGAACCACAGTTAAGTTCACCTATCTGGCTTTTACTGTGTGTCAGACATTGTGCTAAACGCTTTACCCGTTTAACCAACGTATCTCTTACACATCCATATGAATAGGTACTACTGTTATGATCTTTTCCAATTTGTGGACAAGTAAGCAGAACATCAAAAGACCTCAGTAATTTGCCAAAAACCACACAGCCAGCAACTTCAGGAGGTAGAGATCCAAACCTGGCAAACTAGGTTTAGAATATCATTACTATGCCTCTGAACTCATGCAGAAACTCACTAACTAAATCCTATACTTCAAGTGTGTTCAGACCATCCCTCATCCCCACAGCAGGCAGCCAAATTTGGAGGCAGCCACTTGGATTGTACATATCTAAGAGGTGTGTGTGTGTGTGTGTGTGTGTGTGTGTGTGTGTAGGTAGTGTCCATGCCCGCATCTTTCCAAAGAAATAACTACATAATTATGTCTAACACTTTTAACTTTTTTTAAATGTTTTATTTATTTGTGTGAGAGAGAAAGAGACAGTGTGAGCAGGGGAGGGTCAGAGAGAGAGGGAGACACAGAATCTGAAAGAGGTTCCAGGCTCTGAGCTGTCGGCACAGAGCCCAACCCAGGGCCTGAACCCACAAACCGTGAGATCATGACCTGAGCCAAAGTCAGACGCCTAACTGACTGAGCCACCCAGGCGCCCCAGAGTAACAGTGAGACTCGAAGGGGAAGCCATGCTCGTAGCTAAAAGTTCCAAGTCACTACACACCAACCAAACAGAACACTCTGCAGACATTCTTCATGGCCCACTGACTCTACTGCGAAGCATCTCCAACAGACGATAGAAAAGAGGGCTTTCTCTGAAGAGCGAATCTATAGGGTTTACCTTGGAGACTTCAAGCCTTGGAAGACGTCTTGCTTCTGGAGCCCAGTAGGAGACGCTCAGTAATGATGCCTACGTTGTCCTTTCTGGAAAAATGCAGCCTCTTCTGACTCCGACTTCAACGTACCGTTGCCAGAAGCAACACTATAGAGCAGTCGGTGACAATGTGGTGCTGGCCAACCGAAGAGTATGTCAACTGCATGTGCATCTGGGACCACCCTGCTTTCACCACACTTCCCCAAGGCCTGCCGTTGATTAGGAAACTGGCAGCAGGAGTAACCATCTCCTGGCTCGGCGACATTGCTTCACGCATTGTTGGAACAAGAAATGCAAGCAGGAAATACAGGGAGATGGGTGGGACGGGTGGGTGGGGGCGACGAACAGTTGCTTACCTAGTAAGAAAAGAACAAAATCATATAGTAAGAGCAGTGTCTGGAGCAGGGAGGGTGGTCACACGCATCGTCGCATTCAATTCTCACAGGCTTAGACAGGCTGGTTCATCTGCCAATGTCATGGATACAAATATTAGGCAAATTGTAGTTTAATTGCATTGAATGATTGCTATGAACCAGTCATCATTCTAAATGCTTTGCACGCATTAACTCACCTCATCCCTCACAACAACTCCAGACCTAGATACAACCGGTAACCCAATCTCATAGAAGAGAAAACTATACCATAGAAATGTTAACCAGCTTTCCTAACCTCAGCCAGTACCTGGTCAAGCCGTGTGCAAACTTCAGGCTCTGGGTACAGTGAGGTCAGGGTCATGGCTGTTACCCACAGTGTGATTTTTAAATAATAATGTCACCTGGGGCACCTGGGTGGCTCAGTCGGATAAGCATCCGGGGTCAGCTCAGGTCATGATCTCATGGTTTATGAGTCTGAGCCCATGTCCAGCTCTGTGCTGACAATGGGGAGCCTGCTTAGGATTCTCTCTCTCTCTCTCTCTCTCTCTCTCAATCTTTGTCTCTCTCTCTCTCTCTGTCTCTCTCTCTTTCTCTCTCTGTCCCTCCCCCACTTGCTCTCACTCTCCCTCTCCAAATAAATAAACTTTAAAATAAATAAATAGGGGCACCTGGGTAGCTCAGTCAGTTAAGCATCAGACTTCAGCTTAGGTCATGATCTCCTGGTTTGTGAGTTCAAGGGCCCAATCTGCACTGACAGCTCAGAGCCTGGAGCCTGCTTCAGATTCTATGTCTCCCTCTTTTTCTTCTCCTCCCCCAGTCATGCTCTCTCTCTCTCAAAAATAAACACTTACAAGAATTTTAATAAATAAATAAATAAATAATGCCTCCCTTCACTTTCAAAAGCATCCCAGCTTAAAAGATAAAGTCTTGTGAGGGGCGCCTGGGTGGCTTATTCGGTTAAGTGTCCGACTTTCACTTAGGTCATGATCTCGCGGTTAGTGGGTTCGAGCCCCGCGTCGGGCTCTGTGCTGACTGTCAGCTCAGAGCCTGGAGCCTATTTCAGAGTCTGTGTCTCCCTCTCTCTCTGACCCTCCCCTGCTCACGCTGTCTCTCTCTCTCTCTCTCTCTCCTAGAAATAAATAAAAAAATATTTAAAAAAAGATAAAGTCTTGTGAAAATTAATAAAAAGAAACCTTGTTTCAAATGGTGTTGGGAGGCCGAAAGGGGGGAGCTCTCACACTCTACCACTTCCCCTGGATGGCAAATCCCACAGGAAGAGACCTACTTTCTCAAGCGATACTATTTTGCCTACTTCACTACCCAGCAGAAAGAAGAACAACAGCCCAGCCAATGAGAGGCAGTCACAGTCAGCCAGTGAGAAGCCCCAACACTTAGATCCTGTGTTTCCTCCAAAGGACTTTTTATTTCTAAAAGCCCTCTCCAGCTCCACTCCTTCAGTATGTAAGAGTGGCCCTCCCTTTACTTTTGAGGATTTTCCTATGGTTTGCTGTAGCTAGCTTTTCTCGCATTGCAATTCCCTACCATTCCTGCATAAACCCATTCCTGCTGGTAAAATAACTGGCAGTTTTATTTTTAGGCTCAACATTACATAATCACCCTAAACAAATAAGTGTCCTTAAGTAGATGATGGAAAGATCAGAGCCAAGAGGCAGTAAAGAAATAAATCACATGTGTAGGTTCAAAATGCAGTCCTTAGGAAGGTCACAGGACAGAGCCTGGAAGGGGTTGTCCATGACTGGGTGAGGTCCTAGTTCTAGAAACTGGAGCAGAAGGGGGAACTCAGTCACAGAAATGAGAAAAAGAGGCCAGATGCCATGATCGAAGGAGAGCTCTGGGAGGGGACACTGTGAACTTGGCCGGGCACTGAATATGAAGTAAGTGGAGGCCTGGCACTGGGGAAAACGTAATAATGGGCAGGAGCTCTGCCACCAGGGCTGGTACTTGAGCCTGGAGAAGAGGCTCCGGAGCTTCGGAGGACAGAGAGACTCTAAACATAAATCATGAGCAAAGAGCTAACAGGATGGCGGACAGAGGTATATTCCTCATGCTTCACTCTAGCCAGAACCATTGCAAACGGAATACTGATGAAGAAGAAGGAGAAAGGGGAAGGAGGGGGAGGAGGGACACAGGATGTAGGGAAGGGGAGGAAGAGAAGAGGAGGGGGAGGAGGAAGAGAGGGAGGAAGAGAAGAAGAGGAGAAAGAAGAGGAAAAAGAAGAGAAAAGACAAGAAAGTGCTCTCAGGGAAGGAGAGGAGGAAGAAATATGAGTAAGTGGGGAAACAAGTACTTCCTTTTAACATACTCTTTTTAAATTTAGAGCTGTAAAAAAAAAAAAAAAGACAGAGCTCTAAAAGGAAGTTACTTCAACTCTAAGACTTCGGTTGTCTCCTTTGTAAATATAAGATCATAGTCCCCACCTTAGAGAACAGTACATATGAAGATTAAATGACAGAATGCACGTAGAAGTCTTAGCAACTAAGATCTTTACATGCATTTGAAATAAATGAATAAAAATGGGAAGACTTTTCAGTTCCTTAGAGAGAGAGAGAGATTATGAGAATCTGCTTTCAAGATTTGCACAGATGACTTCCGCTGGTGTGCAATAGTCCCTAATTACAAGAGAAATTTGAGGATGCTGACTGGCTTCTGGTGCTGAAATAACATAATGAATAATCAAGCTCAGAATTCAAATTGTTAATTTCCAAAAGGAAAAAAAAAGAATCTTTATTTGAATGAAGTCAGTATTTCAGCTGTTCATGCACATGGGGCCCATTAAGACTTTGACAAGTGATACATTTCTCAAGACTTGTTTGTCTTAATCCAGTTATGAAATACTGTTTCCATCGTTTATCCCTACACCCAAGTGCATGCTGATGTGTGCACATACTTACTAAAATCATGTTCTTAGGGAAGTACTTTTGCATATCTTAATAAGCATATATATTTTTGTTGAGAAAAAAATCAGTTAACTATCTAAAGTCTTCGACTTTGAAATATATTCAGTGTGTCTGACTCATTGCTTACTAGTTTATAACGGCAAGTTTTTAAGGCCCTGCTTTGAAACTACACCCTTCCAGGTGTGACGTTATTTAGTAAAATTGTAAGACAATAAACGGTGTGGTAGACAAAGATCGTTATTACTAGTGTCTGGAAAGAATGAGTCATCAAATAAAATGAAACCAATGATCAGAAACAAGCCTTATTCTTTCCTGTCTTAACCTCATGCTATTTTTTTAGACAAAGGAGGAAAAATACACTTCTAGTCTTCAAAAATCTAGTCTTCAAATTTGGAGGAAGGCATTGCATTTTTAGAGTTGCTCAGGAAACCAGGAAAAGTTATCATGATATTTGTTGGGAAAAAGAAATAGCCTACATAGAAAACATTAGTATTGTGTCCTCAACTTGACTACCTCGTGGAATTTTTGGGGTAGCTTGTAAGGCCTTAAGTCAGTATTGCTGGAGTGGACCCATCCATGTGGACATTTGAAAAAACGGTCCCAAGGCAATTCTAATGTGAAGACACGTTGAGAAACCAAGGAGTAAATCTGAAAGATCTTTAAAATCAGAGAGCTGGAGATGAGATAGGAAGGAAAAAATAATTTCTCCAAGAAAGATTGTCCCTTTTACCAATGTGGCTCACATACTTTATTTTAGGGGCAAAAACTGAGTCTCACCTTGGAGTTAAGTAGATCTCACTCATTGGCAGCCATTTTTGTAGGACTTCATACTGATAAGTATATCCTTCGTGGTGTGAGATGGACAATCAATGAAGAATTACAGTTCACTAGTTCTCTTTTTCTCCCTCTCTCTCATCTATTGTCTTTTGCTGGATTCTCCTCCCCACCAAAGGCAACCATTCTCCTATGTTTAATGCACATTATTTTGTGGTTCTTATGAAATGCATATTTCTGTTTCACATACATGCATTTTTAATATACATAAATTCCATTGTGTTCTAGATTTCATTTTCCTCCTTTTTAAATATTCAGCTCTGTTATGAATATTCCACTTATTTATTCAGTAAATTGTGACAAATTGCTCATCTAGCACTTTCTACCTGATAACCAATCCAGAGATAAACACCCAAATGGATCCCAACTCTCACTGCCATTAATGACTCACAGATTCTTCTCATACCCATCTTCCCTAAATCTGTGTGAAAATTTCTTTGAACTATACAATCAAAACTATGATTTTTGATGGTAGGCCATAGGATATGCACATAATTGATTTCGCTGAGGACTTCTGGATTGTATAGTCCACACTGCTTGCACCACTGATGAGCACACATACAGTGTATGCAGTTGACGATATTCCCTCTTCCTGCCATCTGTGGCACTCTCGAACCCTCTATTTTTACCAGCCTAATAGCTGTCCTGTGTCAACTTAGCTAAGCTGGAACTAGATTTGCCAGAATTCCCTACCCTGAACAGTTCTGGGTGAAGGTTAGCCACAGTAGAAATTTGCATGAGATTTGGGAGGCAGAAGTGGGGCATTGGTCAAGGTGCTTCAAAAGTGGTTATAGAGTGCCAGGTGCTGCCACAGCATGCCATCTACTCTCACTGATCTGCTCACCTGATACAGGACCATGCTGAGCCTGGAAATTCTCCTGCTCACACCAGATCTCCTTATCCAGCCTCTCTAGGTCCCGGGCCAGGTAATCGTGCAACTCCATGGTGACAACGCTGGCTTCTTCTGCAGGTTATCCATATGGTTAAGGCTGGAGACAATGAGAGGAAGATGTAGGTTCCAGTATGTTCCCAACCCTGTTGACTTTCAGCAGCATCAGGCGCCCCACCAGATGCAAAGGCAATAACCTTCTATAGATTTCTACCCTCGTTCCTGAAATTTATTGTTACTGATGAAAAATCCCCTATTGCACATATTGGTTCTGCTCCCTTGATTGAACCCTAACTGTCACAGGTGTGAGTGAACAATCACTACTCTTTTGGTTCTCCTATCTCTTTCAGTTTTGGAGTTTCTTTCCTATGAGTTGTCAACAGAGTAATCTGACAGCATAGAACAGCTTTAGACCCTAAAATACCTTTTCAATCTTCTCCAAAGAAGAAAAGCAGTAGACGCTAAGGAATTCTAATATTTATACACAATACAGAATCCTCTGACTTGTAGAGAGTGCAGGCTCACTCTTTATTTATGGGGAGACCTATTAAATATCACTACTTTTCATTCTATTTCATTCAATGTGATCTTTTGATTTGGGGCTACTATGTTAGAAGAGTAGAAGAAATACAGGCTCTATAATCAAAATGGTTGTGTTTTCATGTGACCCCTTTGCTAACAGTACATCTTGCCAAATTTATATCTTGATTAGAAATAGAAGTGGGTGCCAATGCATTTTCAAATTAGTCCTGAATATTGATTGAACACGTGTCTGCTGATGTAATAGGCTGGACCAAAGGCCTCTAGTCACTCACTCATGGACTCTTCCCAGCCTGGAGCTCCTTCTTCTGCTACTTTTTTCCCATGCAAGAGGTCCACATCTAAGACCCAGGACAAGGCCAGCAGCTGGTCCTTCTGTATCTCAATGTCCCCACTGCCCATGAAGACAGGGCTGATTTCCAGTGGGCCTGGTTTCTGTGCAGAGACTGCTGCTGACTTGGCTTTGGGCAGTATACTTTCCTGCTCGTTCTTTTCTCCCTGGGATAAAGTCTCTGCATAAAGTGCTTCATCTTCTGCCCACAGCATTCTTCAGGGGAGACTATCCTTTCCGTTGCAAGACTAGGTGTTCTTGCTCACAGGGTTTTCTGCAAACCCCCTTGTCTGGTCAGGGATTCACTGTGGCTTATACGGGGCCCCTAAACCTGGATCTTCTCCTCAATGCCACCCTCACTGGTGTCTCCTAGGGTCCACTCTCTCATCAAATGGCATGGAAATTAGATATTTATTATTCCTTGGGGCCTGAAAGATAGAGATCTAGGCTCCTTCTGACCAGGCTGCTTCCTCCAGCTTCCACATGGATACCTGACACTTGAGAAGCAGCTATGTTCCCACCAGGCACCCGCCAGTGCAAATTCAGTGGGACCACTTTGCTCCTTCAGCCAGAAACATGCAGATCTTTAAGGCTGTCCTGGACATTGATTAAACAATGTTCTTTTTTTAATTATTTGAAAACTTTTTAAAATATATATTTATTTAAATTCAAGTTAGTTAACTTACAGTGCAGTATTGGTTTCAGGAGTAGAACCCAGTGATTCATCACTTACCCAAAACACCCAGTGCTCATTACAGGTGCCCTTCTTAATGCCCATCACCCATCGAGCCCATCCCCCTACCCACACCTACCTTTCAGCAACCCCCAGTTTGTCCTCTGTATTTAAGATGTTATTGCGGTTTGCCTCTCTGTTTTTATCTTATTTTTCCTTCCCTTCCCCTATATTCATCTGTTGTGTTTCTTAAATTCCACATAGGAGTGAAATCATCTGATATTTGTTTCTCTGCCTGACTTATTTTGCTTAGCATAATACACTCTAGTTCCATCCACATTGTTGCAAATGGCAAGATTTCATTCATTCATATATACCACATCTTTATCCAGTTCATCAGCTGATGGACATTTGGGCTCTTTCCATAATTTGGCTGTTGTTGATAGCAGTGCTATCAACAAAAGTGGTGCATGTGCCCCTTCAAATCAGCATTTTTGTATCCTTTGGATAAATACTAAGTAGTGTAATTGCTGAGTCACAGAGTAGTTGTAGTTTTAATTTTTTTGAGGAACCTTCATCCTATTTTCCAGAGTGGCTGCACCAGTTTGCATTCCCACCAACAGTGCAAAAGGGTTCCTTTCTCCACATCGTCACCAATATCTGTTGTTTCCCGATATGTTCATTTTAGCCATGCTGACTGGTGTGAGGTGATATCTCATTGTGATTTTGATTTGCATTTCCCTGATGATGAGCATCTTTTCATGTGTCTGTTACCATCTGGATGTCTTCTTTGGAAAGGTGGCTACTTGTCTCTTCTGCCCATTTCTTCACTGTATTATTTGTTTTGGGTGTGTGGAGTTGATCAAACATCATTCTTGGTGGTGAGGGAGCCATTTCTCAGTCACTAGGGCCCCTAGACAAGTCAGATCTTTAGCTTCCTTTTGGGAATAACCCCACTCATTGACTCTGAGGATGTCCCCCAGCTGTGGCTTAGGATCTGAGAATTGCTCAGCTTTGAAAATCTCCTAAACCCTTGGGGCCGTGAACAAGTTCTTAAACCCATCTCAGTGTTCTTCTACTACAGTGAGAACAACCGAGAATAGAGACAGCCCTTCTTTGGTGAGCATTTCCTTTCAGACCGTCTCTCCCCCTCTATCTCTGTTCTCTGCTGCTAGAACCCTGCTTTGTTCTGGCTGGATTCCTTGGGACTAGGGTTGCCAGATAAAATTCAGAAGTCCCAGTTAAATTAGAATTTCAGGAAAAAAATTTTTTAAAATTCATGTATAAGTATGCTCCACACAGTGTTTGGTTATTTAAATAAAGTCTCAAGTATTGTATGGAATATAATTATAACAAAAATAATGTTATCAGAAATCCAAGTTTAACTGGGCATCCCGTATTTTGATCTGCTAAATCTCATAGACCTTCCTTAGGGCACAAATTCCACTCGATTCTCTTGGATTATTCCTGACTACTGCCAGACATTACAACATGTAGCTCTATGCTACCACTCAGCCTCTCAGCCCACCATGGTATTAGACTTCTGGTTTGTAAGTGGGCTCTGTGGTAGGGCCCTCTCTCTAAGGAGAGAGGAAAAAAGGGAGAAAAACTTCAAGGTAACCTGGCTATGTGCCTATGTGACAATATCCCTCATGACCATGTAAACTGAGACAACTTAACCAGAATGCATGTTTATGTGTGTTACCATAGATGGGAGACAAAGAAATAGAAAATATATTTAAAAACTATGCCATATGATGTTTGGTGCTCAGTTCTTGGGGTACGAACCCAGCTGAGCAGTGCTGGCATGAATAAATTTGCTTCCTGGATAAAAAGCCTCGGTGTCACGACTCTCTGTGCGAGAATCTGGCTACAGCTTCTTGGGAAAGAGCAGAAGAGTTGGCAGCAAGCCCCAGGCAAAGCACATTTACAGGGATCCCACCTTGATGGATCTGCCCCAACTTACTGGCCAAGTGGACCCTCTGAGCATCTTCCAGTGGCTTCTTGGTACATCATTCTCTGAGTAAGCCATTAAGTTACTCTTGCCTCCCCAGAATCAGCCTGCAGATTTTTACTGGGTAGTTTTGGGGCCTTTTAATAGGCTATTTGGGGAACTCCCTGCAAGCTGTGATCAAGAGCTTATCTGGGTCCATCCCTAGATGGGCTGTGACTGAACTACTCAAGTGAAAGATGTCTGGGTGCCTCAGGCCAAATGTCTTTAGATCCTTACTGCTTTCCCCCTCTTCATGTTTCCATCTCCTTTCCATCTTTCTACCAAAATCTCTATTGGTCTTTCAAAACTTTTTCTTTAAGAGTATATATTTCATAGAACAATTTTCATTTTCTTTTTTTAAAAATTTTAAGGTTATTTGTTTATTGAGAGAGGGAAGGGGAGAGTCAGAGAGAGAGAATCCCAAGCAGGCTCCACACTGTCAGCACATAGCCTGAGGTGAGGCTCGAACTCACTAGCTGTGAGATCATGACCTGAGCTGGAACCAAGAGTCAGACACTTAACCAACTGGGCCACCCAGGCACCCCTACTAAAAATATATATTTAGAACATATTTCTTGAAGGTTCATATCAATTGGATAAAGTTATGGTCATTGAAGACATCTTATTCTACCATATAGAATAGAAAATAATATTTTTTAAAAGAGTGAGTGAGGGGGAGAGCAAGCAAGTAAGGAAGCACACACACCCAGGTTGGGGTGGGCCAGAGAGAGAATCTGAAGCAGGCTCCACACCCAGTGAGGAGCCCAATACAAGGCTTGATGTCATGACTGTGAGATCATGACCTGAGCTGAAAACAAGAGTCAAATGTTTAACCAACTGAGTCCCCCAGCTGCCACTAAAAAATAAAATTCAAATGGTTAGTATAAATCACCCGCTAATATCAAATTAATCAGCTATACCCTTAATGAATAAAAAACTGAAAAATATGCCTTTGCTGAATCAGGACCTTTACTGAATTAGGAATTTTTAGGGGTAAGTTATGTAAGAAAAGATTTATACTAACTTTTTTTTAATACAAAAAAACCCATAGTTTTTCCAACAAAATTCATGATGCCACTGCCAAGTCTCCATTTCTCCTTAAGGAGGGAACCCGTCTGACTTGAATTTAGTAATCCTAGCTCTTCTGGTGTTGTCTCAAAGTCAGCAATAAAGGGACTGGGGTCCAATTGTATTTCATTATCTGTAGAAACTGGTGTAAGCCACACTGATTTCCTAAAAAACAAAACAAAACAAAACAGAAGCAGATATTGGCATACTTGGTGCCAGGTCTTTCTGAATCTGCATGTGGGGCCAAAGTTATTTTTTGCCACTGGTTAACACAGTGGCCATTTTCCGTTTAATGATTTTGGGGCGTGGCACAGTGCCTGTACCTTCTGGACAACTGATGATGTATAATGTTCGCTTTAGTAAAGTACCAAAGTGCCCAGTAGAATGGATTTAGACAAGCGGATTCCGAAGAACAGGAAGTAAAAGCTGTCAAAAGCTTAATCTGACCCCATGTAGTGGTAGCATAGGGTTTGTGTGTGTGTGTGTGTGTGTGTGTGTGTGTGTGTGTGTGTATGTGTGTACAGCAGTAAAATTTATGCACTAGTAACCTAATCCTATATTTCTGTTGGCCTTGTTTTCATTTTTTTCCTAAGGAAGATAAGCTGCAAAGGTCAAAGTTACTATCAGAGTAGAAATGCTATAGTCATCATTATTAATCTGGTAGCCTATAGAGAGGCAATACCTCCAGGGCATTATTTCAGACATTATATGTTACTCTAAGCATTGGCTAATATATAGGAATAAAAATGTGTGTGTGTGTGTGTGTGTGTGTGTGTGTGTGTGTGTGTGTGTATGCATGCCCTGTGTTTGTCTACAGAATCCAGTGTTGGCATCAGCTACTTCCCAGAGTATCACTAAATTCCTTAGCCTTGGGTTTGTCTTACAAAATAAGTTAAAAGAATTGGGCTGCCTGGGTGGCTCAGTCGGCTTCTGACTTCAGCTCAGGTCATGATCTCTTGGTTCACGATTTCTAGCCCTGCATTAAGCTCTGTGCTGGCAGCTCAGAGACTGGAGCCTGCTTCAGATTCTGTGTCTCTCTCTCTGTGCCCCTCCCCTGCTCATGCTCTGTCTCTCTCCCCCTCAAAATAAATAAACATTAAAAAATTTTTAAATAAATTTAAAAGAAGATCAAAGTATTTAACAATATGAATGTACATAATGTACACTTAAAAATGCTTAAAATGAGGGGCACCTGGGTGGCTTAGTCGGTTAAGCGTCCGACTTTCGCTTAGGTCATGATCTCGCGGTTCGTGGGTTCCAGCCCCGCGTCGGGCTCTGTGCTGGCTGCCACCTCAGAGCCTGGAGCCTGCTTCAGTCTGTGACTCCCTCTCTCTCTGACCCTCCCCTGCTCACGCTGTCTCTCTCTCTCTCTCTCCTAGAAATTAAAAAAAAAATGCTTAAAATGATAAATTTTACCTTACGTATATTTTACCACAATAAAAAATACCAATTCTCCCCTCCCCAAAAAGGATTCTTATCATGTTTAAAGCTACTACACATTTGCTCTGAGCTCTACCTCCTTTTTTTTATGTCAACTATTTCCATATATCAGACAAGGATAAAATCTTTTCCAAGATTTATAACTCATAAAACTCAGTGTAAATATTAAAATGCCATGGGAAAGTCTTCAGTATTCACCACTCCACTTGGTCTCAAAATTTACACGGGGTCCCTTTGGGATTCAGGGTCTCAGTTCCACAAAACTGCAAAGTGTATTTAGTGATTAGGCTGATAAATCTTTCCTTTCGTGCATTTCCATGAGCCAGTATTAAAGTGAAGGATTGGTTTTCTCTTTGTAGTCATTTACTCATTAACATGGAATTAGACCATGAGATGTATCAGGGTATTATGAAGAGAAAACACTAAAAAATAGGGTCATGCTTGATTCTTCCACTTATTAAGATGACTGGGTATCTAAAGATTCTGCTTTGTAGTTCAGTTACTGTAAAAATACCCTAGTTGCACTAGATTGCATAGGTTTTGATTCTGAAGTGAATATTCCATTTAAAAATAAAAATACTCTGTATTTTTACAAATGTTAATTTCATGCTTGTTTGGATGTACGCTAACGGGCAAGTCAAGTCTAAAGTCTATGCTTCTGCAGAAGCACCTGATTATGTAAAGGTTAAGATGTTTTCCAAAGGAATCAGGTCTCTTGGACTCACCTAGAGGCAGAACATTCCAAAGGGATTTTCTGACGCTCACAATGCATGCTCCGAGGGTTAAAGAACATCTCTGTTTGAAAAAGGAGGGTATCCTCTGAAACAACCTAGAAGAGCAGAAAGTTTAATCAGAAGGTACTTCTAGTAACAGGGCAGGCATATACATATTTGTCTTCTAGTTTAAGATTTGTACCTAGAAACATAACTGACAGTAGTGAAAATCGACTTCCTCAGAGCACGGGCAGTTCATATGATCCAATGGATAGGATAAACCTTCCTAGGATTTGTGAACTTTCCCCTTCGGAGCATCGAACGAAACTTAAAACTGTCTGCTAAGCTTTGGTGAAATATGAGAGGAGCTGAAGGACAACTTAAAATCAGCTTCCTAACCAGTCTGGAAACCTGTGTTCTTGGGTCCTATCCACACAGATGGCCCAATGTTCAGTGAATGATAAGGAAGAAACCACGTTGTCGTCTGCCCATAAATCACAATAACTCGAAGCAAAATATGTTCTTTAAAACAAACAAATCAAAAAAAAGGACAATAATTTTAGAGCCAGGTATAAAGGTCTAAAAAACTACTTAGAAGTTATTTTTAGGGGCACCTGGGTGGCTCAGTTGGTTAAGCATCCAACTTCGGCCCAGGTCATGACCTCACGGTTCATGGGTTTGAGCCCTGTGGCGGGCTCTGCACTGACAGCTCGGAGCCTGGAGCCTGCTTCAGATTCTGTGTCTCCCTCTCTGCCCCTCCCCTTCTTGTACTCTGTCTCTCAAAAATAAATAAATGTTTAAAACAATTTTTTAATAAGTTATTTTTATAAATAGTCTCTGTACTCACCTTTGTTCTGATCCCACAGTCATGTACGGGATATATAAAATCATATGCATAGGTCTGTATCTGGGTCACAGGGCAACCTGATCCCAGATGCAATTCATCAGCAAATATGTACAGATCACTGTTGTGCCCACACGGGCTAACCGAGATCATCACCCAGTCCATTGAACAACTTACTGTCACTGCAGAAAGAATCATACAAGAAAGTGTCAGATGTGTATTTATCTCCAGGAAGAGTCCAAAGAATATTCAGCTCAGCCCTTGATGATAAATAAAAGGCATTTCTTTCTTCAACAAAGGTAATCAAGGCTTAAGGAATAATGTATAAAGGGTTTTCACATTACTGGCTTTTCCAAAATATCTGCATAGTTATGTCCTCAAATAACGAGGCTTCAGTTATTTCACAGGGAAGAAAATCATAATCTTCTAGTCCCCTACCTCCTCTGAAAGAAATTAGATTCTACAGAGGGCGATGTATCTGGGACCGCACAGAAGTAAATTGCAATGCGTTCAGATAGGAGTGATGTATTCCCAGTAATGTTCTTTGGAGAGGGAGAAGGGAAAAGCGTGGGTGGGGAGAATCATGATCTGGAACAGCTCCAACCAAAGGCAATCAGAGCCATAGAGGAAAGACTCTGAAGAGAGAAAAACCCCTGCCTGGAATGGAAGTGCTGTGAAGGTTTCCATGTAAAACCTATTCTTATCCTCTACATTGAAATCTTCAGTCCGTCAGGAATAATCACTATTCCTAATGGATTCATTTATCCTGTGGAAGAAGTAAAAGTGTGTTTTCTGACCTACTAGGCCAGACAGACGTTAACCAGAGCTTCTCAGGGGGATGATCAGAGTTGAACTGCATGGGTCCTACTAGTGTTCAGAAAGAAAACACAGATTTATTAGCTTTAATGAGTTATGATTAGTAGTAGGGGAAAAAAACTAACAAATTAGGTTACAAAACTTCCAAATTGGAAAACAAAACAGTGAAGAAGAAAAATTTTGGGGCGCCTGGGTGGCTTAGTCGGTTAAGCGTCCGACTTTGGCTTAGGTCATGATCTCGCGGTTCGTGGGTTCGGGCCCCGCGTCGGGCTCTGTGCTGACTGCCAGCTCAGAGCCTGGAGCCCATTTCGGAGTCTGTATCTCCCTCTCTCTCTGACCCTCCCCTGCTCACGCTGTCTCTCTCTCTCTCTCTCTCTCCTAGAAATAAAAAAAAAAAAAAATTTCAAACAATTTAAAAGAAAGCATAAAAGCAAGAGCAGAAAGAGATGGAACACCAAAACAAACAAAAAGGACCAAAAAAAATAAGCAATAGGGGGCACCCAGGTGGCTCAGTCAGTTAAATGTCTAACTCTTGCTTTTGACTTGGGTCATGATCTCACAGCTCATGAGTTCAAGCTCTGCATCAGGCTCTGCGTTGACAGTACACAGCCCGCTTGCAATGCTCAGTCTCCTTCCCTCTCTGTAATCTCTTACTTTCTATCTCTAAATAAATAAAATAAAATTTAAAAAGTAAGCAATAAGATGGTTGCAATAAATGAATTGCAAGTATATGCCAAGAATGATAAATGTAAATGAACAAAATACTTCAGGCCAAATGACCAACACCTGAATGAAGAAAGTATGTTTTTATATAATCAACTTCTACATAACACAGAAAATACAATTATACATATAAAGTGATCAATCTGAAAATGATTGAGAAGGAAGCAAGTCACAACACAAACCTTATATATCTAATGATACAAAGTTGAAATGACAGATAACCATTTTTGAAAAGATTTTTTTTCCAGAGACTATTCTTACATAGCCAGGACCTGCCCCACACTGAAGGCATGAGAATCATAACCCAGAACATGACCACACATCTCATCTGATAGAGCCTCCTCATGTTTGGCAAAAGTGAAAGTACCAAGGTTTAAATCTTATCTTCCTATTTTGACACTAATATAAGTTGCTCTAATACAACCTGTCACCCAAGCTAGGATAAGTACTTTGAACATGGATTTCCCTTCTTAATTATCTTTATATTCACAGCTGCATAGAACCCAGTGAGTGTTGACTATATGTAGTTTGAATTGTAGCCCTTGTTGATAGTACCACCTGCATGTAGGACTTCCGGACAAACTGAAATTACAAAACTTTCCCGTTACTGTTTAAGGAAGGGAAGGGGCAGGAGAGAGTGAAAGTCTGACTGGCCATCCAACCTAAAGGAAGGCAGCCTTCTTACAGCTGGCTGGATAGGGCTCGAATTCTATAGCTACCTGGTTATTAGATTTTGAAAGAAAAAAAAAACTGGTTAAAACTGCAATGCAATTTATTCATGAGTCAGCTAAGGCAACCAAAGTGAAGATTCATGATCAGGTTGAACAGAATTCTAGGCAATTTGACAGAGTGTACTCAGAGCCTCAGACCAATTAGAGGACTGGGCCAGATGGATTCAAGTGAATGTGCACACAAGGTGGCAATTCTAGCCAGTAACCAGAAGGTTAAGCTATACTGGTTTGGGATGATATTTAAGACAAATTTCCCATACTCCCAAGTATCTTCCAAACAGAGCCACAACCAAAACATTTACATGTCAAATCTCTCCTTCGAGCCTAACAAAACCTGGGAGTAAATAAAGCAGTATTCTCGTATTCCAGAAATACATAGTTGAGTCACTGCTGAAGTCTGATTAGTGCCTTCTGTCCCCTGCCCCCAGCACATCTCTAAAGGCAGAAGAAAAAAAATAAAATTGGGATGCCTGGGTGGCTCAGTCGGTTAAGCGTCTGACTTCAGCTCAGGTCATGATCTCACAGTTCATGGGTTTGAGCCCTGCATCAGGCTCTGTGCTAACAGCTCAGAGCCTGAAGCCTTCTTCAGATTCTGTGTCTCCCTCCCACTCTGCCCCTCCCCTGCTCATGCTGTGTCTTTCTTTGTCTCTCAAATAAATAAATGTTTAAAAAAACTTTTTTTAAAAATAAAGCAACAATAGGAGTATTACTCAGTATTACTCCGGTGTGATAAAGAGCTCCTTATTGTCTCCTGCAGAAAGGACATCAAGTAATGAGTAAATTGGTAAGGGCTCCAAGTTGAAAGCCTTGCTTAAAGGCAGCCATTGGAAATCATATGTGAACAGATTTGTGGTCAGAAAAATTATTAGGAAGCAAGATTTCCTTCCTAAAGCAATTAGGATCACCGGTCACAGATGTTTTTCATTATTCATGCCAATCTCAATAATATACCATACACTATAACGGGAGTTCGCATGTCATCCAAAAACTAAATTACCTGCACCATGAAGCACAAATCATACACGTGATGGACTCTGAGCCTATTCTCTTCACAGATTTACTGAGTAAACTGCCCTTTGATTATAGCTGTAGAAATATAAAGAGCTGGGGGCGCCTGGGTGGCTCAGTCGGTTGAGCATCCGACTTCAGCTCAGGTCATGATCTCACGGTTCATGGGTTCGAGCCCCGCATCGGGCTCTGTGCTGACAACTAGCTCAGAGCCTGGAGCCTGCTTCAGATTCTGTCTCTCTCTCTCTCTCTCTCTCTCTCTCAATCTCTCTCTCTCAGAAATAAATAAAATATTTTAAAAAAAAGAAATATAAAGAGCTGGAGAATGATCTTCCCACAGTAAAAGCTCATTAAATTATCTCCCAGTAGATGACTCTTCCATCAATTTAGGAATTGACAACAGGTAGTTGTTGGAAGAAATAGTCAAACAGGCATCTTTAAAAATGACCACCTGCCATCAATATTTTACCTCGTACTTCTCACAAATAAGTCTATCATGACTCTGAGCAAGCCAGTCATGTGTCAGAGGGGCTAACGGTCTATTACCTTCTTTCCTAAAGGACTGGTGCTCACTCACATTCCCATTACAAAGCAGGAATAGAAAGTCAGATCACACAATGAAGACAATCGCTAGAGGTTCAAACCTTGAGGAGGAAAGCTCCCCAAACAGTAATAGGGACCGGTAGACCTTGAATACATTCAGGATATTCCTAAAAACTTTGGAGGATCGGAGTCTTCCCAGCAGGTTTTTTAGTTCCTGCTTGCCTGTATTAGGGGAACAACTCATATCTCTAGTTCTCGGACTGAGATTTAACTCATCATGTCTTGTTTCTCAGACCCAGATTCAGACTGAATTATACCACAAGCTTTCCTAGATATTCAGCTTACAGATGGGAGATCATGTGATTTCTCAACTTCATCATTGCAGGACCCAGCTCCTCACAATTTTCTTGGTGTCCTCAGTAGATGGATTGTTCTGAAAGTCACTAAGCTCCCATCATGAGAAACGTTAAGTCTACGAAGACTAATGAAGTAAAGATGGATTGAGGTTGCAGAACTACCAGCAAATCTGGACTTCAAGAAAACTTCAAGTTGCCCCAGTGTGAGTTCTTCAGAACAGTTTTTCATTTGAATCAGCTTGGAAAATACCCAGGGCTACCTCAAGAAAAAGTATACATGGTGGAGAGTCCCAAATACCACTACAAGTAGGAAATAAAATAACCAAAGTCTCAACGAGAGAAACCAAGAGACACCATTCAGAGAATACTTCCTGAACAGACAGGCCCTGGACAGTCAAAGAGCCCTCTTTAATACAGCAGCACCCACAGGGGCAGAGTGCATAACAAGCTTTTAAATTAAAATGAGTCTTCCCAGCATGAAAACATATTCATGTGTAATGAGCAAGAGAGTCCAACACTTTTTAAGCCTCGAAGTTCTGGGTCTTTACAGATAAATCATTAAGAAAGTAAGAGAATTCAGGGAGATGGTTTGCGGGGAAAGTGGCATTGGAGAAAGCAGGTGGTCTACATCAGTGACTGTCCCCTCTGATTCTCTCCATGTGTTTGAAATGTTATCCTACGGTCACCCAGATAAGGGTATCAGAAAGATCCTTCCTAAAGGAAAAAAGCTTCCAATAGTTTACAGATGGATTCAAAAGGATACATGGGCATGGACACACAGGGAGTCCAGGCTTCTGCCTTCACTTATTTTTCTCCTACTAGTACTAGAGTCAGTCAGACATTATGAGGCCATGCCTCTAGGATCTGAGAAATTTGAGGGAAAGCCTGAGCAACATGTGTAGCTGCTACACAAATTGGCTGAAGTAGATAGAATCTTCCTCGCACCTGAGCATCATGGATCACAGACCTCAATGCCCTGCTTCCTCACCCCGGATGACCCCGACGCCCAGCACTCCCCACCCCAGATGGCCTCGATGCCCTGCGCCCCCCTACCCCAGAGGGTCTTGACACGCTGAGTCCCCCACCCCAGACGGCCTCAGTATATTGACTCAAGTCTCCTCAGCCCAAAAGCATTTCTCCTCTAGCTACTTGTAAGATCCCAACTCTTTTCAGGAGGAGACTTTCTGCATGGAAAGCAACCATAACTCCTCCAAGGAAGTGTTCTCTAAAACTGCCCTTTACCATAGATGCTCTCGGTGTAAGGCCAAATCAAGGCAGCAAGGAGCGTCCAGATCCCTAAAGCCACAGAGACCTTCATCTGAGCACAACCCCAGCCAGGACGTCTCAGGAAACAGGAAGGATGTGGGCTTCCATGATTTTATATGGCATCCCGCCCTCAGCTGCCTTCATTTTCCTACTGATTTAGATAGGCCATGGGGCACTCTCTCAATGTCAACCACCTAAAAGCTGCAAGCCTCCAGATTCCCCAAACACGGAATCTCCAAAAGGCATATCACGCCAAAAGTGCTATTTGATAACAGATGGTGTCTGCATGAGCTCTGTTGAGATCACCTGGGAGGCTGGCACTGCACACAACACATCCAGTAAATGCTATATTGTAGGAAACTATTGGTACTAGCTGACTTTCGGGGGTCCATCTAATATGTGGAACAGCCTAAATCATACATATTTGAAATCAAGATGATTATTTCTTCTTTCCTCTGAGATTGGCCGTAATACTCAGCAGCAGAGATAATAAAGTGACTTTCCCAGAAACAAATGTCCCCAGAAGGAGACAGGGACCTATAGAAAGCCATCTTTCTCAGCATTAAATGAATCCACAAATCTATCTTTGTTGGTTCGTCCATAAATTAATGTTTTAGTTAGTTTAGTTAGATCAAGCCTTAAAAGCATTTACTTATAACAAGAGAGAGTAACGGTTTTTTTTCATGCTGGGAAGATTTCTCAGAAAAGAAACATTTATATTCATGTATTTTGTCACCTTGTGTTATATATATAATTTTATGTATAATAAATATATATATATTAATTCCAGTCTTCAGTTGGAATAGAAGTTCCAGCTAAGCATTTTAAAAATAATGTTTCATCCTTTTTTTGTTTCGTTTTGTTTTTTAGAGTTTATTTATCTTGAGAGAGAGAGAGAGAGAATGAGGGGGAGGCAGAGAGAGAGGAAGAGAGAGCAACCCAAGCAGGCTCCAGGTTCTGAATTGTCAGCACAAGCCCGATGTGGGGCTCAAACTCACAAACCATGAGATCATGACTTGAGCCAAAGTTGGACGCTTAACCGACTGAGCCACCCAGGTGCCGTCAAGTCTGCTATTTTTTTTTTAAGTTTATTTATTTTGAGAGAGAGAGAGAGAGAGAGAGAGAGCAGGGGAATGGAGCAGAGAGAGAGAGGGAGAAAGAGAATCTCAAGCAGATTCCATACTGTTAGCACAGGCCAGACATGAGACTTGAACTCACAAACCATGAGATCATGACCTGAGCCAAAAACAAGTGTCAAATGCTTGCCCAACTGAGCCATCCAGAATGCTCCTCAAGTCTGCTATTTTTAAATCTATGCTGCATATCCGTAAATTGTCAAAATGGGGACTCTTACATAGTTCTATTTTCTGTTGGTAATTCATTTCTGAACTAGGCAGAATTCTAAAGATCCTTTTTGCAATGTATTCAATCAAACATTAATCTAGGTACCCCTGTGAAAGGACTTTACAGATAGAATTAAAATCAAGGACCTTCAAATAGGGAGATTAACCTGGATTTTCTGAGTTACCCAATCTAATTACATGAATCCTTCAAGTGGAGAGTTTTTTCTGGCTGGAAGCAAAACAGAGATTGCTCCAAAAGGGGATGGTGGTAAAATCAGAGGCTGGAACTCAGGAATTCAGCCTGCCACTATTGTCTTGGAAAGGGTCCATGAAGGAAGGAATATATGAGGCCTTTGGTGATCTCCAGCCGACAGCCAGCAAAGGAAACAGACTTCAGTCCTACAACGACATGAAATCAAATGCTACCAACGTCCCAAATTAGCCTGCAGAGAGGGTCTCCCCAAGAGCCTCCGGAAGAAACAGCCCTGCCGACAACTTGATTTGAACTTGGTGAGACTCCAAGCAGAGAAGCCTGGTGAAGAACCACGTGGTGGCTACACTCCAACCACACGAAGTATGGGATGATAAATGGGGGTTATTTGTTACAATATCAATAAAAACCCAAATACACAATCTATATTCCGTTACCACATTTTCCCAATGTTTTGTGTTAATTTGGGATTTTATTCCCAGATTTTATACTCCAGTATGAAATTTAGGCCAAAGAATAAATTTTGCTAAAGTACTGACCTTCTAACATTTATTTGCATTTACTATTTTTTTGAGTACATATTCTAATAATTCTTTTTTCTTAATGTTTATTTATTTTTGAAGAGAGAGAGCAAGAAAGAGAGAGAATGAGTGGGAGAGGGGCAGAGAGAGAAGACACAGAACCTGAAGCAGGCTCCAGGCTCTGAGCCATCGGCACAGAGGCCCACAGGGGCTCGAACTCAAGGACTGTGAGATCATGACCTGAGCCGAAGTTGGACACTTAACTGACTAAGCCACGCAGGCGCCCCTCTATCGATTCTTTAGAGAATATGTGAAACATATCTTTATGAGATATGTTTTTTACTGTAATCCTTATTTTGTTTTGTTGTTGACTCTCACATGTTTAGAGGGTGTATAAGGTTAATGATGCTTTAATATTAGAAATTTTTCTTAATCTCCTTTTTTGTCCTTCACAAATGAATTCTAGTTAGCCTGAATACAGAAGGGAAATTATTAAAAACATTATATCAGAATTTTAATACTATTATTCCATACAGCTCTAGCACCCAAGTTTTCAGATAATTGTGATATAATTTAATAACTTTGTATGATGTGTGTTGGCCATATAATTTGAGACTATTCAGTTTGGCTATGAATGCAAGAAAAGAAGGAAGTGGTCAAAATTCATAAGACATGGGCAAGCGAAAAGATTGTGAAACATAGTGGATGAGTTAACTAACCAGAAGTTGTATGATGGGGTATGTGCTGCAAGGCTGGTTTGTACTAGCCCACCCCCAATGACCCTGTTAATCACTATCTTTTTTTTTTTTAAATGTTTTATTTATTTCTAGGAGAGAGACAGCATGAGTAGGGGAGGGTCAGAGAGAGAGGGAGTCACAGACTCTGAAACAGGCTCCAGGCTCTGAGCTGGCAGTCAGCACAGAGCCCGACGCGGGGCTCGAACCCACGAACCGTGAGATCATGACCTAGGCGAAAGTCGGAAGCTTAACCAACTAAGCCACCCAGGCGCCCCCTGTTAATCACTATCTTGAAAATGTAGAGATCAAGCCCTCCCTCTACATTCCCATCAGGCAGAATGTGCAGAAAGACATGGTCAGCGCTCAAGGTCAGGGACTCCAGGAGGGGGGACAACCCAGAGTGTCTCCCTCATAAGGAAGAATGTCCAGATGGCAGGCCTTGACCTCCTTGGATCACTGGCCGTGCAAGAAGGGAAGAGGCTACAGAGAGTTGCAAGGCTAAGTTGCTATGCTCTAAAAGTTTGTTGCACATATGTAGATCCTGCAGCAGATGGTTTGTCCAGCTCACTGCTCCTGGATACCCTGTAAGTAAGTTCCTCCAATAAACCTAAGTTTCAGCCTCTGTCTCCAAGTCTTTTCTTCAGCCTCACCTGACCATCACCTGCCGTTGGCTTGGAGTCTGCTGGGGTATAGATAGCTACACTGGGGTGTGACAAGGACAGATAGAATAGATAGAAAATACAGAGGAACAAACACGGATGAACCTGACATTCATTAGCTATTAGTAGGTTATTGATCCCTAGTGTTAACCTTAAAAATAAAACCACCAGTTATTTTATCAGCAAAAGATGGATTAATTCAGGAATAGCAGAGAATTGCAACTCAGGACAGGAACGCTATGACAAGCAAAATCATAGGCAAGTCTGGAGAACAAAGGAGAGGAACATTCTTATAGAGGAAAAGGGGCCATTGGGATGGCTGTTAGAAACAAAAAGTCCATTGAAGTAACCCAGAATTCCAGATATAGTGAGTTTTCATTGGGTGAGCTGTGACTGTCTCACTGGCTGGGCTGTTGCTGGGGTAACAGAAATGTCATTTCTGTTAGTAATGTCCTGCAGCTAAAGTCATGTCCCCTGAAGGTTGCCAAGGAGGCCCCTTTTTTCCTGTTCAATATGCAATTGCCAAGGAGTGGTAGGGCATTAGACCTTCCCCTGCTGAAGCTCCCAACACCATTTTAGTGAGGTTTCCATTTATGAATTTTCATACCAGGTGATTAAAAGAGAAATCACTGAAGCCAACAGTTATGTTAGTTTGTTAAAAAAACAAAACACAAAACAAAACAAAAACCCCACACCCTCACTGCTTCAAATTACCACCTTCCACAGTTCCCTCTCTTTCTCACAATCTTTAAGACCATCAATCAACACAAAAAGCAAGAGGAACCCTCCTAACACATCAGCAATCTTCTTTGCTTCAGATCTCAAACCAAAGTACCTCAGGAAAAAATAAATCAAGGAGGTGAGACTCTTCAAATGTTTGTAAATCTCTTACTTCCTCAGCTGTTGGTGATGATCTAGCATTCTGGAAAGAACCAAGAAGTCCTTAACTCAGTCGGCTTTTTCTTCTTATGGCTGAAGTTACTATAATTATTTATAAATAAGAAATCCAGGAGGGAGAATGTGAGAAGTGGTTCTAGACTATACCCCCACATACCAGTTGTGCCTTCCCCAAACACATGGATGTGTCTGAAATTGTCTTACCTAATATTTGATATGTGTCTATGGGACTGTTAAAGTAGGACTTTGAAGGATCCAAGTGGGTGGATTGAAAATATTATGCCTTATATTTACTCTGGATTCTCGTGAAAAGAAGCCAATTTCCCTGCCTCCCAGCTAAGAATTCAGATTCGATAAACCTGTACTTGTAACCAGCTGGAGGAGATTCTGATTCAGGCAAACAAATTCATGCAGCCATGGTCTAAGTTTGGAAAAACACTGCTTTCTGATTCAATTTTTCTCTACCAAATGAATGTGTACATCCTTGGGGTGCTGCAGAAAGGTGCTCTTAGAGGATTTTTGTCCAATTAAGCCTAGTGCAAAATCTTGAGACGAAGGGATCGTGGGTAGGGATCACAATGTGATCTGGTCCCATATTTTGGCAAAAAGCAACCGTCAAAAAGCTCCATCTCAAAAGTAGAAGTTTAATAAATAACCTTTAGAAATTATATAGTATGTCACATA